CTCTCTTCTCTCTCTCTCTCTCTCTCTCTCTCTCTCTCTCTCTCTCTCTCTCTCTCTCTCTCTCTCTCTCTCTCTCTCTCTCTCTCTCTCTCTCTCTCTCTCTCTCTCTCTCTCTCTCTCTCTCTCTCTCTCTCTCTCTCTCTCTCTCTCTCTCTCTCTCTCTCTCTCTCTCTCTCCTCTCTCTCTCTCTCTCTCTCTCTCCTCTCTCTCTCTCTCTCTCTCTCTCTCTCTCTCTCTCTCTCTCTCTCTCTCTCTCTCTCTCTCTCTCTCTCTCTCTCTCTCTCTCTCTCTCTCTCTCTCTCTCTCTCTCTCTCTCTCTCTCTCTCTCTCTCTCTCTCTCTCTCTCTCTCTCTCTCTCTCTCTCTCTCTCTCTCTCTCTCTCTCTCTCTCTCTCGCACTATGTTTCCTTTTCTTTTTTCCCTCTCTCAGGCTCTGCTTGCTGACCTCGCTCTCTGCTGCTTGCGATTCACGTGACTGCGGCGCTGGATCTCGCTCTTCTTTCTCAATGTTTATGTTTTTATATTTTCTGCTTTATTTCTGCGCTTCTTTTGCTCCCTTTGCACTCATTTCGTTTTAACTACGACTTTGCATATTGCATACTTAATACCTGGCAACCTCACAAGCTTGCGCATTTTATTTTAACTCGCATCTGTTATCCCGTCTTCGGTGCATACTTAATACTTGGCTAACCTCATAAGCTTGCGCATCTATTGTAACTGTAGTGTCTGTTATCCCATCTTCGGTTTGCTGCAGCAATCGCTTGATGCTTTTGTGGCGCATCCTGGTACGCATGCCGCTGTCCCCCACGCCATATATCGTGCCCTGCGTCGACTGTTGTGGTCAAGGCGACGCGACGCGTTCGGGGCGCTTTATGGCTAACAAAGTGGCTATGGACTGTGGAATAGCTGGCGCACCTTGCTGACTGGACTGTGGGACAGCTGGTGCACCTTGCTGACTGGACTGTGGGACAGCTGGTGCACCTTGCTGACTGGACTGGGGTATGGCTGGTGCGCCTTGCTGACGTGGACTGGGGTGTGGCTGGTGCGCCTTGGCTGCCATGAGTGCAGTAAACTAGGACGTGCGAAACCGCTCCGGACAGAACTGTGACGACGCCACTTTGCGCCCAGAAAAACATTTGCACCGCCCTTACGCACATAAGTGCTTCACGTTGAAACTTGTACAAACAAAACTCTCCGTGACAAGCCCCCAACGGTGATAAGCTGCCTGACAGAAGATTTTCAGACTGTTCCGTTGTGCTGATCACAGAGTTCGCACCACCTCGCTCTGGCCTTAAGCTCGACATCCTCGGATTAACTCCCGCGGCCCTGCGCGCCGGCTTTTCGGTGTGACCCGCCGGCTCCGCCGACCGCCGCGACCCGACCCGGACTGTGACGGTGTGACCCACCGGCTCCGCCGACCGCCGCGACCCGACCCGGACTGTGACGGTGTGACCCACCGGCTCCGCCGACCGCCGCGACCCGACCCGGACTGTGACGGTGTGACCCACCGGATCCGCTGACCGCCGCGCCCCGACCCGGACTGTGAAGGTGTGACCCACCGGCTCCGCCGACCGCCGCGCCCCGACCCGGACTGTGACGGTGTGACCCACCGGATCCGCTGACCGCCGCGCTCCGACCCGGACTGTGACGGTGTGACCCACCGGATCCGCTGACCGCCGCGCCCCGACCCGGACTGTGACGGTGTGACCCACCGACTCCGCCGACCGCCGCGCCCCGACCCGGACTGTGACGGTGTGACCCACCGGCTCCGCTGACCGCCGCGCCCCGACCCGGACTGTGACGGTGTGACCCACCGACTCCGCCGACCGCCGCGCCCCGACCCGGACTGTGACGGTATGATTCGTCCGTTCCCCTGATCGCCGCTCTCCGGCCCGCAGGCTGGCCCAGGTGGTGAAGCTGAGCATGGCCGGTGCCGTCTTCCTCACCTACATGCTGATGTTCTACGTGCCCTGTCGCATTTTGATCCCGCCGTTCATCGCCAAGTTCCACTCAGAGCGGAAGAAGTTCTTCGCCGAGTTCGGAATGCGCACGGCGCTCGTCTTGCTCACCCGTGAGTTTGAGTGGCGACCGCCGCTGACCGGCCAGTGCCGAGGAGTGAGCGGGCCTGCTCCCGCCGGCTGGGCAGAGGTCAGGTCGCCTGCTGTTGGAGCCCGACGGGACTCAGGTCTCCGGCTGGTGCTGCTTGGTGGGGCCCAGTATGTGCCTGTCTAGTGGCAGTGGGTTGCGAGAGTGGGATGCGGCGACCTGCAGCTGTGTCCGTCGGCGGGAGCTCAGGCGGCTGCGGTCACTTCTGTGAGGTCTCTCAGCCAGCTGCCATCACTTCTGTCAGGTCTCTCAAGCAGCTGCCATTACTTTTGTCAGATCTCTCGGGCAGTCGCCATCACGTCTGTCAGGTCTCTCAGGCGGCTGCGATCACTACGTCTGTCAGATCTCTCAGGCGGCTGCGATCACCACGTCTGTCAGGTCTCTCAGGCGGCTGCCATCACTTCTTTCAGGTCTCTCGGGCAGCTCCCATCACTTCTGTCAGGTATCTCGGGCGGCCGCCATTACGTCTGTCAGGTCCCTCAGGCGGCTACCATCGCATCTGTCAGGTCCCTCAGGCGGCTGCCATCGCATCTGTCAGGTCCCTCAGGCGGCTGCCATCACGTCTGTCAGGTCCCTCAGGCGGCTGCCATCACGTCTGTCAGGTCCCTCAGGCGGCTGGCATCACGTCTGTCAGGTTTCTCAGGCGGCTGCCATCACGTTTGTCTGGTCGTTTTTGAGTGTCCCTGCGTTGTACTGAACTGCACACGAAGATATTCGCTTGTCGGTTGCAAACGGGCTGGTGAATTCCGTCTGGAATGAATAGCATGTATTTTTTAGATGAGCACTCGTCCTTGCTGATGCCTACCTGTTGGATGCATAGGGTGTGTTGGCGTGCATGGTATCGCAGATGTTTGGGTGCGGCGGTGGTGGCCGTGATTCTGACGCGCGTCACCTGTCTTTGCAGTGGTGGTGGCCGTGGCCGTGCCCGATCTCAGTCTGGCCATCTCGCTGGTGGGAGCCGTCAGCAGCAGCATGCTGGCCCTCATCTTGCCGCCCATCATCCACATGGTGGTGGTCAGCACCCGCTCCGGCTTCGGCCCCTTCTACTGGATCCTGTGGAAGGACTTGGCGCTCGTGATGTTCGGCCTGCTCGGCTTCATCACGGGCACCTGGGCCAGCGTGAACCAGATTGTGGATGCGCTGGGCAGTTAGCCAAGGTGTCCGACGTAGTGGACGGCAGTAGGACCGGCGAGCTGTGGGCGGACGGCTGGGCCCGGCCGCCGGGGCCGGCGCGGCCGCTGCCGCCCAGCGGCGGCGACAGTCTGACTGCCTCCCGTGTCTGGCGGTGGCGCTTAGTCGTCTCAGACGGCCGGCAGCGGCCGAAGCCGGCGCGCCGCCCGCCGCGTTCTGTCGGCACCGACCCGGCGTCATGGCCCGTGCCGCGTGGCCGCCCGAGTGTCGGCACCCAGCTGGCGTGTCAGAGCCAGGCGGAGGAAATGTCGGCACCCAGCTGGCGTGTCAGAGCCAGGCGGAGGAAATGTCGGCACCAAGCTGGCGTGTCAGAGCCAGGCGGACCGAGTGTCGGCACCCAGCTGGCATGGGGCTAGGCGGACTGAGTGTCGGCACCCAGCTGGCATGGGGGTAGGCGGACCGACTGTCGGCACCCAGCTGGCATGGGGCTAGGCGGACTAGTGTCGGCACCCAGCTGGCATGTCGAGGCTAGGCGGACCGAGTGTCGGTATCTGGAGAGCCAAGACAACGCGTGATGAGCCTGCTGAGTAGCATAGTGATCCCGCGCGTGCCCGTTCATGGCGCATATATTTATCGCAGAGTCGATTGATGACGTGAGGCGGAGGGGTATACAGTGGTTTCGCTTACTTGTATTGCGGCAATGTTTGGTTAGTAACCTTCGGGAGCGCTGTTGTACCAAATGTTTTTTTTCAGTTTCTTGGATGCTTGCCATTTTAGCGTGGTTTGTTGCGTGGTTTTTAAGTCAGTAGCTTGAGCTGGTCGTGGAGGCCTGCTATTTTAGTCTGGATTTCCCGCATGCTTTTGGCGTTCCTGCAGACACGTCCGACGTGGGTGTGGCTGCGATTGCATAATTTCAGACATTCGTAGTATTGAATGCCTCAAATGGGTTCATGAAACGTGTCGCTGGCTTCCGTTTTAAGAGAATCGTTTTTAAGTCACAAATGGTACCGGGTTTGAGATATATTAAAAGATTTCCCTCGTCTTGCATCAACGCCACGCAATGCATTGAATGAAAATGTTGGCTCCAAGGCACGCTCCCAACCAACACCACATGTTGCGCTGTTACACTCACCATGTTCAGGCTCATTGTATGCAGCCCACTGTGCCAGCTGTGCGGACCTTAGGTGGGCTTTGTGCCGTTAGGTGATGCAAGCTGTGGGCCAGCGTGGTACCCGCAGCTGAGGTGATCCACGCACGCTGAATCGTGCCTTGCGAGTCCGAATCCAAGCCGGCCGCAAACCTTGACCATGGCTGTAAAGCGGATGTATCAGTGATTTGTAATCCGCGAATGGCAAACTATAGTGAGGTATGCGATATTATCACATATTTTTGTTACACATTGTCGTAGGCTTCCATTGCAGTTTGCATTGCCGTCTTGTCCCTCATGGACCTAATAAACATGTCGGAACAAGTGCGAAGTGTGGTAGGTCGTATGCGGGGAAGTACTGTTGCGGTTTGTGGAAAAGCGCCGTGCTATTCGCGATTCGTGGAAAAGCGTATTGCTATTCGCGATTTGTGGAAAAGCTTCTTATTCGTGGTTTGTGGAGAAGCGTACTGCTAGAGGCGTTTAAGCTGCGGAAGCATCTTCGGATAAGTTTTCCACGGCGTGTTGACGCAATTTTTCTGGATCGCTGGAAAGTCCCCCCCCCCCCCCTCCCCGGCAGGTGCACAGGTGGATTGGAATCCATAAATCCTGTGGCAGGGTCCTGGTGTCCTGCAGTTGAATCCCCAATCCATCCCTGTCGCATGACTTGAGTAATCGAAAAGACAAAACTTCGATCGTTTACCCGGCGCATTGGTTAGGATACCTGGAGAGGTACGAGCTCTCTAGGATCAGCACGCGCTGCAGTTAAAGAAAAGCAGGCCAAGTCGATAAGTCGGGGAACCGCAGGATCGAAACCGTACTGTGTGCATGTATGGTAACAGCCACGAACACGTGACCCACTTTCCAGTTTTCGCACACAGCTTTTTCGTTTTGGGCTCGGCGAATGAATCCGTGTTGTACAAGGTATCAGTTGTTGCGTATGTAATGGTCGGTTTATATGCAATAAAGGAAGTGACAGGATTTTTCGCGCGTTCCCAGTGTCTTCCCGCTGTCAGGCATATGAATACGACTAAAAATGACCAAAACATTAAGCTAGATGTCTGAACCTGATGCGGCTCATTCATTTGCATATGCTATCAATTCTGAATTTTCGTAATAATTACTACCGTAACTACAGTACACCGTATTTATTCGCGGAGCACAGAACAAAGAACATATATATATATATATATATATATATATATATATATATATATCCTGCTCATAAGGTATGCAATGCACCTCTGTCCCCAACACGAATGAGGGAATATATAATATATGAAGGCAGTTGTATTTTGCATCAAATCTCCTGGACCTTACAGCCCCGACACAATGTAATAAATACGAACAGCAACGCGCAACTCTACCTACTGGCGACCAACGGGGCTCCAGGCGTGGCTAACGAGCCAGTTCGTTTCTCTTTGCAGGTACGTGGTTACGAGCCTCAGTCGCCGGACCACAGACGCCTCGCCGTCCCTTTCAGGGGCCGCCAGTCACAGGCATAGCCCGCACAGACGCCTGCGCCCATACATACAATGCTAAAAACAATGCAGTTAAGTGTTCATCGTTTTCACCACTTCAGATTCTACTCTTCATTGAATTTCCTCTCAGGATCGCCAGCCACCCTCGACTCGCAGCGCAGTTCGCGACAACATGCGGGCTGCCTCCTGGTATCACTGACAGGTGGTCCGCACGCGGGCGTCTGCGGGCGCCGCGGACTGGTCCGTACAGCAGCGGCGGCGGAGCCGGCAGATGAGATCCCCAAACGACCGCACCGCGCCACGATGGCCGCCAGGGCCCGTGCCCCGCACGCCGACCACCTCCGAGCGGCGGCGCCGCGCCCGCCTCCGCGTACAGATCAACCGCGTATAAATCCCGTATAAAAACACGCATGGTTGTTTACAAAATACTTCAAGGCAACATACACTCTGGCACCTCAGCAGTAAGCAGCGTGCCGGTCGGTTGACCACATGTGTAAAGCATACAGTTAATGAGACTCATACAACGAATGAGAAGTCTTCCCCATACTTTTCCTCCATCTCTTTGACGAAAGACTGCTTCAGCATTTTCAGGCACCTGAAACAACGGAAGTTGATTAGCTCCATGGATTGCCGATGAAATAAATAATGTCAATCAAGATGGTGCCCACCTATCTTACATATATATCCTAGTATACAGACTATATATATATATATATATATATATATATATATATATATATATATATATATATATATTACATACCATATATTTCATGTATCGTCATACATCCCACCATCACGTCTCATGCAAATGGTATTTTGATAGTATGCATCAGGCCTCGCGCCTCATTTCCATATTCACATGTGTTGGCGCCTATCATTCGCGGAGCACAGCTGGTCCAAGTGCTTAAATAAAGAGTATTGCTGGCCTTCACATGGGTGCGGACCGCGTAACATTAACTAACCGGATATTGTACAGTCTCAGCGGCGGTCTGGCCCGATCAGTTACGCTGTAGTCACGGGCTTATATTTTCGCAAGCGCCAATCGTTCTGACGTGCGGCCTGCGCCAAGAACAAGCACAGTTCTTTTAAACCTGTGCTGTGATATTTCTGGCCGTTTCTACGCAAGCTGCTTGACCAGGCTTGGTTTTTCCGCAACATCGCAACGTCACAGGCACGCCTCCTCATTCTCTTAGCATGGGACACGTGATACCCTCCACTACCGCCCAACAGAGGGAACACGAATTGAAACCGGGTCCATATCTCGACCGCCCGGCGTTGTCGAGCCACGAGATCAGCACATTCTGAAGGCCAGTCGTGTCAGTACAAGTGAGGGTCGGTGTATGCGATGTATGAGGCTTTTAATGATTGATGTAAAATGTCGGCAAGCAGCGCACGCAGAAGCAAAACGAGCCGCAGGATACGCCCGGTTGTCTGTCGACACAGTCGTCCGTCACCAGATCGCCAGGCCCTGCCACGATCAAAGCCAGCTCAACAAGGCAGCCTTTGCGCAGTATCTTTGGTAACTTTTGATGCGAGCAACCCACAACAGTTCACTCCTGCTTGCTAAGCTCATGACAGATCGATATTAAAATGCATTGAACACTATACCCTTCCCATAGGTTCTCAAAGCAACGGGCTGCAGTTCGCCTGGTGTTTAGGTGTCATCGGGATGACAACACTCAGATGTTGTCATCACATCACGTCGCCCGCCCCAAGTCGTGGAAGGCGTCTCACTAGTACGTATTGCTGCAAACTTCACGGGGACATCACAGAGTTGGTAAAAGCGATGCTGGCATGCTTGATAGCTCGGAGCTTCGACATCTTTAGTTTTGTTATTTCAGTCACCTCCGTCAACTCCGTCTCCAGTTAAACGTTCACTTCCGGAACGAAAATCTGCACTGTATGATGAGGCTTTCATCCCATAGAATGCTGGGACTAGCTAGGTGGTCACGTTAAAACTATAAAATAATAACACAAAGATATAAAACCAGCACCACCGAGTTATCAACTGTGACCAGCAGCCTCCCAGCACCCCAGCTGAAGGAGAGCGTGTAGACAGCGAGCCCCGGCTGCCGCCGGCGGCGGCGGCGGCCACTCACTGCCTGTACTGGCGCGAGGTGCGGAACTTGGCGATGTCCAGACTGGGCGCGTGCGGCATGTGGATGACGAACGCGTTCGGAAGCACGATAAATTGGAAGCCACGGGCGTGCAGCTCCATGATGTGCGACACCTGGCGGCAGAAGCCAGATACGCTCGCGCCCTGCTACCCTGAACGGCGCTCGGCACGCACACAGCCCCAGCGGCATCACCCCAGCATGCGTGCACGCCCAACGGCCGGCGACAGTGGTGGAGCTCTGCGAAGTAACTTGGAGAGGGACAGGGCTGAGAAGTGAAAATGATAAAAACTACTCCCAAAAGAGCGGACAAAAGGGTTCCTCCCGGGATTGGGCCCACATTCTACTCAGTTGACGGGGGGCGGGGCTGGAACGTCCCAAACTGCGTACGACACTACACCTCTGGAAGGGGAACGTAGGGCCTGTGATGTGGCAGATCGTAAGATTTCCTTAAAATATCTTAACCCGCTTTCAGCAGTGTTGAGCCATTCTGTACCTCAGTATCTGTATCATTTCTACCTCTCAGGACTGAGCACATCATCATTGATCCAGTATATCAACGCGGCGACTTTTGTATGAAAACAGGTCTCAAAACAGCGCCGGTGACACACACTTTAAGATGGCTTTCGCTTCTGGGATGACTCGGGCACTGAAGCAATCAAAACACATGACTCGATTGCATGGAACACAACTGAAATGCAGTATGAAGCCAGGTCGGGTCGTGAAACCTGCAATCCAATTGCCACCTTGACTTTACTAACGAAAGACCACCGACTGCTGACCGCCTGGCAGCAGTTGACAATGCTCTCACCTTGTTCCAACCGAATCCGACGAATCGGAGATCGTACATTGGTATCTCCTCCTTCCTCACCACGACATACGGCTCGAAGTCCGCCTCCCATTTGACCTGGGACACGGCGACGGGTCAGCTCCGCGTCGCCCACACAGACGACGTCACGTCCAGGCGACCCGATCACAGCGCGGCGCGGGCCCGCCAGTGTCGGGACGCGGCGGTCTGGGCTGACCCGTCCGCAGCCAGCCAGCGCCCGTCACGGTTACAGCAGAGTGGCCAATCCCATGCTGCTTAGCCCTTCCGTCGCCAGTACCACAGAACAATCAACCACAGCGCCGCCCGTGAGACACATGCTAGTAACCGGCCCCGCCAGGCCACGGTTGGTATGTCATGAAAGCTTCCGTTGGCACGATTTCTTGCGTTGGTGGCGAGAGCCCAACAACGCCTATTCAAGGAGCCCGAGTGTTCGAAGCAGCGAGCGCGCACTGCCTGAGGCGTGCTGAAGCCCACGAGGCGGGGAGCAGAGGGCCGGGTGGGCCGCGCAGGAGCGGCGACGCAGACTCCGGTGCGAGGAGGCGACTGCACTCACCGGGTACGGCGTGGTGGCTGTCCGCCACTTGCCGTAGTCGGTGGGCGCGTGACCCTTGGACCAGACGTGGTAGCGGAAGGTGAAGAGGTCGCCCATGTCGAGCATGGAGAGCAGCTCGGCCTTGCTGCCCGGGAACGAGAGCCGGTACCGCTGCGTCTCGAACGCTGGCACCACCAGCGCCTGCCGAGCAGAGCCCGCCGGCGCCTCAGTCGGAGCGCTCGGCGCGCCGGCCCAGGAGGCCGCAGGTGCCCCAGCTCGGCCCGCTCTTCAGGTCACACGCTACGCACCACTCATCACACGCACACTCACGTCTCCCCCCCCCCCCCCCCCCCCTGTTGAAACAACCCATCGCGCATTTATCTCCTAAAAGTCGGATTTTTAAAGGCCATTCGATGAGCTTAGTCTTCCCCTCCGTCACCCAACAATCGCCCATTCCTTTCAAAAACACTTTCCACCTGTCTCCATAAAGAAGCTAATCTGCCTATCACTCCATGAGAATGCCATATTCCCATTCATCCTTACGAAGTATCTATCAAATACTTCCGCGATGGATCTGCCTGGCCTCCCCGAGAGGTCTGCCTTTCGCCGTCCTTCCAGCACGATCACGATGGGCCCGCCACCGACACCAGACCCGGTCAGACGACCCCGCTGCGCACCTTGGGCGTGTTCATATCGCTGAAGAGGTCGCCGGCGGCGCGCATGAGGGAAGAGTAGAGGCCCATCATCGGTAGGAAGTCGATGTCGGCCAGGAAGACGTACGGCGTGTTCACCTCCCGCAGCGCCACGTTGCGCAGGTAGTTTACCGGGTAGTACGTCTGCAACGGAGGCACACCGGTGCAGCAGTCGGAACAGCACGCACGCACGCACGCACGCACGCACGCACGCACGCACGCACGCGCGCCGAGCCCCACCAGCGAGTTGCACCACACGAGGCAGACACAGGGCGCCGGACCGCACGCAGCCGACGGAGGCAGCCAACAAAGGTGGCCACGTTGCAAGCCCAGAGCGAGCGACCTCGCGACCTCGCGACCAGAGCAGCCTCACGAATCGCCGTGGAGCGGCGCCCACCTACCCCGTCCTTGTAGACGACGTGGTAGCCGACGTTGGTGCGCTGCCGGAGCACGTCCGAGTCCTGGACGTACTGCAGGAACACCTGGGCCTCGGCGTCCGACATGTAGACGGCCAGGCTGACGGGGCCCTGCCAGTGGCGGCAGAGCGCCTCCACCATCTGCAGCCGGTCCATGGAGAGCTGCGCCACCAGCGTCACGCCGCCGCCGGCGCGCGCCGACTCCATGTCGTACTGCAGGTAGTAGAGGTGGGTGCGGTACTCGGTGGCGCGCGCCCGCTGAAAGTCGTAGCACTCGTCCTCCTCGCTGAGCCGCGACAGCTGGTCGCGCCAGCTCGGCTCCTCGCCGGCCGGGCACGAGAACAGCTGACGCCGCAGCAGGTTGCCGTCGTACTCGAGGAACGTCAGGTGCTGGTTGCGGAAGAACTCGGCGTTCTTGTTCTTGACCTTGAGCTTCTTGGGCGAGTTCCAGTGAATCACCTGCGGGGAGGGGCGGGGGGGGGGGGGGGTAATTACCAGTCGACCCGCCACTGGACCACAGTCGCGCTCGTTTACCGTCCGGTTCACCGAAACACCCACTTAATGTAAGCCCTAAGCGTGTTTGGCAAATCACTGCGTTTCATTGCACGCCGCCCCCTCGGGGTTCGTTTCCTGCCAGGACAATCAGACGGTCACCCGACACTGGTGCGCGCCTCCACAAGTCAACCTAAGCTCTGACAGTGCTGCCGACACGCGCTCACGTCCGCCCGTGTCTCTGGCCCGGCTGCTGCCGCATACGTCACCTTGAGGTCGGTGACCTCCGTGTAGCAGCGCTCCGAGCGCGTGTTGTCCGATAGCTGCACGTTCCACTGGCACGACAGGCGATACACCATGTCCGGGTGGGTCTTTATCACAGCATTTATCACATCCTGCCGGCGCCCAGGTTCATGTCAATCGGCTGAATGATCGGGTGTGTCGTTGTCTAACTTGCGACGACTCATTCACTAGCCGTGCACAGCGCACAATTAATCGAATTTCACTTAAGTTATTCAGTGCATTGGCGAGGAGCATTACTTACATAGATAAGACAGTAGTAGTAGCTTTATTCCTCGGAGAAAACCACCATGTTTGACTCGTGCTATTGTTTCGACAAAGGCATGTTGCCGAAATATCAGCCCAACTATATCTCCATTCTCCTGGTTTTCCCCGAGGAATTACCTTTTTAGGAATTACCAATTACCTGGTCGGCCAGCTGCGTGGAGAAGTGCGTGACCAGGTACTTCTCGGCCACCAGCCGCCACACCTGCTGGAAGTTGTGCACGCGCATCCTGTCCAGGTCCATCAGGATGACGCCCGTGTTGTAGCCGCGGCCGACCGCCGGCCACGGCCGGTGGTTCTTCCACAGGCTGCCCAGGTACCAGTCGCTCTGGTTCTCCACCAGGCCCAGCATCTGGCGACAGGGAACGGTGCGTTGGCGGCGGCCTAGCGCGAGCAGCGGACCGGTCCCGGGCCATAGCGGGCCAGTCCCGGGTCACACCGGATCAGTCCCGGGTCACAGCGGACTAGTCCCGGGTCACAGCGGATCAGTCCCGGATCACAGAAGACCGGTCCCGGGCCACGATGGGCCAGTCCCGGGTCACAGCGGATCAGTCCCAGGTCACAAGTAGACCAGTCCCGGGTCACAGCAGATCAGTCCCGGGTCACAGCCCAGGTCCCACCGGACTAGTCCCAGATCACAGCGGACCAGTCCCGGGTCACAGCGGACCAGTCCCAGATCACAGTAGACCGGTCCCGGGCCACAGCGGGCCAGTCCCGAGTCACAGCGGGCCAGCCCCGGGTCACAGCTGATCAGTACCGGGTCACAGCGGACCAGTCCCGGGTCACAGCGGACCAGTCCCAGGTCACAGCGGACCAGTCCCGGGTCACAAGCAGATCAGTCCGGGTCACAGCCCAGGTCCCACCGGACTAGTCCCAGATCACAGCGGACCAGTCCCGGGTACACACCCAGTCCCAGATCCAGTAGACCGGTCCCGAGTCACAGGGGCCAGCCCCCGGGTCACAGTGATCAGTACCGGGTCACAGCGGACCAGCCCCGGGTCACGCGGATCCGTCCCAGGTCACAGCAGACCAGTCCCCGGCCACAGCAGATCCGTCCCGGTCACAGCCCAGGCCCCAGCGGACTAGTCCCAGATCACAGCCGACCGGGTCACAGCGGACCAGTCCCAGTCACAGCGGACAGCCCCCGGATCCCAGGTCCCCAGCGGGCCACGCGGACAGTCCCGGTCCACAGCGGACATCCCCCGTCCGGGTCACAGGGCCAGCACGTCCACAGCCCATGGGTCACAGCGGACAGCCCGGGCCCACCAGCGGACCAGTCCCGGCCACAGCGGGCCAGTCCCAGGTCACAGCGGGTCCGGTCACAGCGGACCAGTCCCAGGTCACAGCGGACCAGTCCGGGTCCAGCGGGCCATGGTCACAGCGGACAGTCCGGGTACCGGACAGCACAGCGACAGTTCCAGGTCAAGGGCCGTCCGGGTCAAGCCGGCACGGAGTCCGGCCACAGGACGCTGGAGCTGCCGCGCCTGGTCACCAGCGCACTCCGACGGCCACTTCCACGGTTGTCGGGAGCACCGGGTTAATCTGCGCGTCTCGGATACCAGAGGTATGCAGTTCGATCACTCGCGGTCCCCCCCCCCTTCCTGCCAGGGCGAGCGGCAGGTGATGCCCTTTAGCCCTCAAACAAAAGCGTCGTGAAACTTTAATGGCGACGACGTCCGGTATCGTAAGCGGTGTCACCGCGGGAACTGCAGCAGGTGGGAGGCGGATCATGGCCTCCTGCCAGCTGCCTGGGGTCACCGCTGAGACAGAGACCCAGTGGTGGACCCCCGCCTCCTGAACTGGACTGGAGTATCCTGCCACCACTGCGACCGTCATAAGGCTGCGCAGACGCACACAGAGCGAGACTGAGACGAATGCTGCGGCACAGACGGAGACAAGAGGGCACGGAGAGGAGACCAACGGACGGAAACAGGCCGACAGACAGACAGCCGGAAGCACGCAGAGATGAAGTTATTACTGCGAGTGACCCGTGAGCAGCCGGCCGAACACGCAGCCCACTTGTCCGGACACACGGAGTCAGTCTCACGGACACAGACCCATCAGAATAATGGGGACGCTGCCGAACACGCAGTCCATCTGTTCGAACACATGGGATAAGTCTCACGGACACATATCCATCAGGATACTGTGGACGCTGCCGAACACGCAGCCCCATGTCCGGACACACGGAGTCAGTCTCCCGGACACAGACCCATCAGGGATACTGGGGACGCTGCCTGAACGCGGGGTTCACCTGTCCAGGCTTAAATCGACTGAATAGCCTCCAGAGCTCGGCGATGTCCGTGGCGAAGGTGATGTCCGTGTCGAGCACGATGGCCTTTCGTAGCGTGACGGGCAGCACCTTGGGCAGCATCAGCTTAACCAGGCCGTACACGCCTGAGTAGTGCTTGTTGGGCACCCAGTCGACCTCATCGGTGATCTTCCGGTCGATCCGGTACATGGTGAGCTCCACCTGGCGGGATGGTCCGCGTGTCACTCGGCTGGCCACGGCACGCCCCTCGAGAGCCGTTGTCCAGCCGGATGGTATCAGGTGATCCTCCAAATGGCGCATGCTTACAATCACCGGCTCAAGTATAATAGCCGCAATCACCAGCGTTAGATTTGTTTTTAAAATCGTGATTGAACACCAGTTTCGATCTTTGTTCTGCAGCTGAAACACATTAAAATGTCCACAATCGGTCAATATATTTGTTCTTGATTACGTGGGACGGAAAAGCTGCTCCCAAGTGAATTCAACTACCCATTAAGTAATGTAGCAATTATCTTCTCTTCATTCCCTGGGATCACAAACGTAAACAAATTCATCCTAAACTTGTGTCATGACATTTCCATATCACGTGAACTCGCAAAATTCCTTCCCACAAACACCGTTTTTCACATGAACTTGTAAAAGGCTATCCACAGACATACACACAGGCAGCAATAGGCTAGAACGGAGCCCGCCTACGACCAACAATCCGCGTTGTCCTAGTCCATGGTGTATGGCACAAAACCAATGATTTCAAACACCTGACATCGCTACCTCCGAACTCACGACCACGCACCCTCTCAGAATGAATGCATTTAGTATAAGTGGAAACAAAAGTTCGCGAGCGCTCTCCGTCTCGATGACCTGTCAGGTCACGCTATTTTCGAATGACAAGCAAAGTACCAATTTGTCCAGAAAAGCAAGAGCGAGTTACATAACGAGGCTGGATTGGTCGCTTGTCAGTGAGCTTCGTAGCACTTTGTTCGATTCAACATCACAAATCGGCGGTGCTTGTGCACTCTGGGTCAGGTATTGTCCACAACTTATGTAGAAATAGCTGAACAAGGAAACCTAACATCTCAAGACACTACAGAGTTCCAGCAAAGCAAATCAAAGCACCACCCGACAAGCACTTTCCATCAAATCTAGTTTTGCACGATTTTCTCTTCAACAGGAAGTCCACCTAAACTCACACGTAACAAAAAAGCACGACCTGGCGTGATAGTCCCCGTTTACTATCTCCTTCTACTCATTCGCTGCACAACCAGCTGGTGTGCAGCTGGTTGTGCAGCGACAGGTGTGCACAACATCGGAATGCCTCAGAGACGCGCCAATCACAGCGAAGGACCCGTCGGCCGTGCCGGGCGGCCGTCTCACCTGCGGCACGCCCCACGTGTGGAACAGGTGCGACAGCACCTGCTCGGCCACCTCGTCCACCAGGAAGTAGAAGTGCAGCGGGTGGCGCCGGTAGAACAGCAGCGACTTGATGAGCGTCACCACCGAGCGGGTGGAGTTGTAGCCGGCGCAGACGATCACCACCGACACCTCAGCGCACTTGCTCAGCGGCTCCTGCGGCCGAGGGTCGGTCACCGGCGTCGCTCGAGCAGCGCCTTCTCACGCGCCGCATGGCACTGCACACGAATGTGGCAGTCCACACAGTGTATTGGGGTGTCTGGGGCCGAGGACCAGTCGCCGGCGCCACTCGAGCAGCGCCCTCCCACGCGCCGCATGGCACTGCACACGAACGTGGCAGTCCACACAGTGTATTGGGGTGTCTGGGGCCGAGGACCAGTCGCCGGCGCCGCTCGAGGCCACACCTCTCACGCGCCGCATGGCACTGCACACGAACGTGGCAGTCCACACAGTGTATTGAGATGCCCCAGCATGGGACTTTAAATGGGGCGTGATTTACAGGGGAAGGCTGATGAGGTTAGTTACTCTGCTCACGTGCTGAGTCGTTCATGGATGATTCAGCCTTTGCAGGCAAGAGGTAGGTGGCAGTGGTCACCCAGGGCTAGCTCTCTTTGTCAAAAGGCTTGTGTTCCACAGATGGTCCAGGCGTTTCCGGCCGCACCAATGTCCCTTTTCATTTTTTTTTAATGCATATAATGTCCGCACTTTTACATACAACATAACACTTTGACTATGAAACAAACAACAACAACAAAAAACGTAAAGCATATACAGGCTTACAACTCCACAGATTTTGTCTGAGCTCTTCACTTATGGTATCCTCGTTGCATTCCACTGTGCCAGTGCTTACCCTCTGCAGATGTATAACTACCAAAATAAGACAGCCAAAGGAGGTGCACTTGACCATGTGATGGGAGCTTACCCCCGGTGCCTGTGTGCGGCCTGTGACGGTGACTCACCTCTGGCGCCTGTAAGCCGTCTGTGACGGGGGCTCACCTCTGGTGCCTGTAAGCCGTCTGTGACGAGGGCTTACCTCTGGTCCTGTGTGCGGTCTGTGACGGGGTCTCACCTCTGGTCCTTTGTGCGGTCTGTGACGGGGTCTCACCTCTGGCCCTGTGTGCGGTCTGTGACGGGGGCTCAACTCTGGCCCTGTGTGCGGTCTGTGACGGGAACTCACCTCTGGCGGCTGGGCGCGGTCTGTGACGGGAACTCACCTCTGGCGGCTGAGTGCGGTGTGTCACGGGAACTCACCTCTGGCGGCTGGGCGCGGTCAGCGGCCGTACCGTTGCCGCCCGTCTCGTCCAGCACGGCCACCAGCTGGTTGTGCGCGGCGGCCAGCTGGTGGCGCAGCATCACATTCTGCTCCTCCATTTCATGCACACGGTCGGCCAGCCGCATCTCGCGTGTGTTGAAGCCAAGCACATTGTCAGGATCATCTGGCGGGCGGAGCACGTGATCATGGTCTGGTCGCAACACTAACAAATGACACATTGCCAGTGCCACATGAACCCTGTGATTCATGAGCCAATACCATGAGTCAGCCAATGCGTCACTAACAGCCCAACTGAGACTTGTGGAGGAGTGAGGCCCAGAGAAATAAGCCGAACCACAGGATGTCTTATTACACATGCAATTAGATGATGAGGATACACTGGCGCAAATCAATACTGCACAATGTCATGAGTGAGATGAAGCTGGAGAACCAGAGGTCCTTAATCCCCAATGAATAGTGACATACGCCATCTACAGGAACATGACTTTGTGTAGCGCGCTTGACTGCATTCAGCCACCTCACTCTGCGCCTCAGAGCTCACTGCTCCCTCCTGGCGGCGGGAACCGCGCTACAGAGGTGTAACTCCGCCACCGGCCCTCCCCGGCGCCGGCGAGCACTGCGCTCACACCACACTCCCCGCTGATATTATACCCGATCACCACACTGGTACAGTTGTTCCAGCTGGCGCACCCTCGAACCCATTCCCGACAGTTCACGTTCACCCGCAGGGCTCGGCCCGTGCTTGACCGCTCCCCTCCCGTCACCGGCCACGGTCACGGCCACGGCCACGGCCACGGAAGCCGGCACCTCAACAGCCAGGGCGTCGCCATCGTCCCCCGCGTCGCTACTGGGACGTCGCTACGCCGGCGGCCCCGCGCAACCGGCGGCGGCGACACGGCGAGCCGCAAGGCGCGCGCGTGGCGAGACATGCATCGACCTCGACGTTCTGCGCGGAGGCGACCCTGGTCACCGTGCCGGTGGAACTCGGAACATCGCAGTGCCGACTGGGGTGTTGAGGCCACACACGGTCACCGGCACTGAATCGGTGTGCGTCCTCCGGCTGCTCATTCTCCTCCGCCTCGTTGATTCTAAACCGTTTAATCTCGTATCGGAACAGCTGCTTGGCAGTGGAAGAGGCAGGCTGCTCACTTCGCGACATCACATGGTAGCCTTAGACGGCTTCCATGACGGAGCAGCGTTTCCGCGCCGCTATAGTCTTCACTGACTGGCGACCCTCGCTCCTATATCCCGTGTTTAGACGGGACATGCGTACAACGATACCTCACGCTCAGCCCCCACCAACTGGCGAACACGCCGACAGCCAAACTGCGAAAGCCGGTGGCGTTGTCAGTCAGCAGCTTTTTCGGTGTGTCACGCTCGAAGAGAACATCGACCCGAGCTGCCCGACGACACTGGCCGTGTCCTGGCGCCTGAACCGCCGCCAGATGGCGTACCGCGATGGTCCACAGTCGATGGGTGTCAGGAAGCGCTGATCTCCGACGTGACCGATGTCCATGCTGAGCCTGCACCAGCGCTCGGCAACTCCCAGCGACTCTTCCTGCCACTTCGCAGGCGCCGGACCAATCTACTGGCATGCCTGACACCAGCGCGCGACACTTCGCACCTGCTTTCGCGTGACCGACGGATACAGCCTTTTGCGGAACTGCAGCGTGCGCTTGATGCCGGGGTGCCCGCCGGTTTTGTGGGCGGCAGCGGTATCGGGCTCGGCAGCAGAGGTGACGGCTCCAAAAACCGGCTGGCTGGTCACAAAAGACCGCCACTTCTTCGGCACCCTCGTCAGCACGTCAGCCCTCTTCTCCGCCGAGGAGACGAATCTGACCACCAATCAACGTCTTAGATCACATTTTCATCCACCTGCAGTGCGGCTCACAACGCGAGAGAGCTGTATGGAGCTCCCAACCGTCCAAATACACGACAGCCTCATTCACATCACAGCGGTCGTGAGCCGGATCAGCGCTCTTCACGCGCTGCGGCGCCTCAGCAGCCATCGCACGTGGATCCGGATCAGACACCTCACATCCCATGAAGCGCTGGCCACGGTGGCTCGCCTTTCCAGGTACGATGCTGCCACACGTCACCATCCAGAGGCATGAAGGCAGCTCGTCGGGCGGCCGCACAGTGGAAAGACGACACGACTGGGTCAGCTCCTGCGGCATCTCCCCAGCATCGTCGTCGCGCCCCCAGAGGAGGCCGCACCGCTCTCGCCAGGCTCGGATGGCCGGCACTCGGGCTCTTTCCGACACACGTTCAGCTGGGATGCAGACCGGACCGTGACGGCTGACGGCTGACCTGACGACCCTCCTCGTCCACTGCAGACGCCATACTCTCGTCTGCCAGAATGTCGTTCGGATACGGTGAGGTGGCATGGTTGATCCTCTCACCCCAGTCCAAGGCGGTGATCAAGTCCTTCTTCATTACCAGAGGCGCGACGCTGAGTCCCAGACCCAGACGAGTCAGACAGTGCCGCTGTCTGCGGAGCACAGTTGTCTGACACGGCCACAGTGACCGGTGCACGTGAACCTGAAGATGGGCTTTGCGCGGATCGATGAGAGCGATTCCTTGTCCGCGGCGACGCCACTCCTTGATCTTCTCACCACAGACATCTGCGTCGACCTGTATGGAATGAGCAGGGTGTTCAGCTCGCTTCACCCACAACCAGGCAAACCGCCGGTAGAGCGCCTCTTTCTGTCCGGCTGGAGGCTGGCGCTGACTGTCACCTCTCCGGCGCCGTTTTCCGGGCAAGAAGACGCCATGCGCCCCAAAAGACTGCAGCGAAAGCAGCGCAGCGCTGCTGCGCGCCCCGGCGCCCACCATGGCAAGCCAAGCAGTTCCGCGCGAGGTGATTCAACTGACCGCAACCGCGGCAAGTCACGCTAGCCGCCACCGGAGCCGCCTCCTCGAACTGCCGGCCGGCACGCTCAACGCGAACACTCCCTTCCACCAGCACAGCTCGAGCGCCGCTCGGCAGCTGGCTGCTGTCCATGGCCTTCATGCGCGAACCCGCTCGCAACGAGCGGCGGCAGCCTCCAGTAGGCCGGTAGTAAAAGCGCGGGCCGGGCCAGGGCCGGACGTGCCACCGAACAGCGCGGTCAGGCGGCGCAGGTCGGCCACGTACTCGTCACAGCGCGACCTGCGAGCGCCGAATTGTTTATGTGCTAAAACTTGTCCACAGTGAAGGTGGCAATTAGGGCACCCCTGACCTCCCTGCTCAGCTGCTGGTACACAGTCAAAGCTCCACCAGCAAGTCTCAGTGTGATGATGCTCTGTGGTTTGGCGAGGCCTCGCAGGCGACACACCAGCTTCAACTCTTGAGCCACCAGGTGACAGCATGTGACGCTCAAGCTCAGGGATCAGCTGAAGATCCACCACACCATCCACAAGTGTCACTGCTGCCATTAGAGCCTCCTCACTAGTTGGCATGGCTGGAATAGCCTGTAACTGGCTTGACTGTATTCAACCACCTCACTCCTGCTAGCTTGCTGCCCCCTCCTGGCGGCGGAGGCCACCCTGCAGCGGTGTCACCTTTGCCACTGGCCACCGCCAGCCCAGGCACCTTCCTAGCACTGGTGCAATAATCCTACCACTATTCAGTTTAAAAAGTCAATTGCAACACAAATTACACAAATAACTGAGTAAAAGGTGAGTGTGGCACTGTGCAACATTTTTCTCGACATTTCTTGCTAGAGCTTTGACTGTGTTTCTGTCACCTTATGTTTTGCAATGAAGTGTGACACTAGTGCATGTGCAGATATCACATGCAATGTTATTCCTGATGGGCAGCTCTCTATCTGAGGCTACTTTTTCCTCACCTTCCAAGGAGAGATAGTATAGAATAGCTACAATTGCCATGGCTAGCAATGAAGCATATATAGCCAGCCAACGTCTTGCCAGGATGGTGTGAAGGCCATATCTTTTTGCTCGCCGAATGCTGATTCCTGCAAATGCAAAGGTTTTGACATTTTATTAACACCATTAGGCATGCTTTAACACTCCTTATATGGAGCACTGGCAATTGCAGTTGATAATATTAGCACTAAATGCTCAAAAATGGCATGACCAGAAATTGAGCCAGGCCCCTCTCCCACATGGCAGTCTGACCTGCTAACCACTCAGTCATCGCTTTTCCAATTGTGACCTGTTTTGAAAAAACAAATACAAATAGTTTGTTCAGCTGCCATTGCAGAAAAACACTGCTGTGCTTGCACTCAATGTATTCACATCTGCAATTCCTCTTTTGCATCCTTAAATGGAGACAGTGTTTCCTATAAGCACATGGGCTGTTTTAGCTGACACTAAGACACATCCATGCTAACTGATTCCCTGCATGTCTGATGTCTCTCAGGCATCCCTCCCAATCCCTCCCAATCATGCCCAATCACCACTGGCATGCTCTCTCTTGCCAAGTATGTCAAGCTATTTCTGATCCAATGCATTCCAGCTGTAATGCTTACCTGGCATGGCTGAGTGGAGCTGCTGATATAATCATCTACTGGTGTAACAAATGTTACTTAAGTTATCTGATTACTGGAATATTCATTTTGATTTCCTGAAAAAAGATATGAAGTTCAAAGCATTTTGTTCTGACACATTCTAAAAGCTATGTCTTAGAATGTCTAAAGTATGATCACCAACAACCATGGTTACATCTAGCTGATTTATACCTCAATGGATTTGCTCTAGAAACAAGTGTAGTCCCAAAATTGCGGCAGCAATGCCAGCACTCATACACAGTAGACCTGGGCGCCCTTTACATGATGAACTTCTATTTTAGGCAACATTCTGCAAGAAATGACAGAAATATTATCAATGCATGTCCAACATAGTTACCAGCAATACAATCACGCTTTTCATACCCTGGTACTGGACAACGACCACAGTTGCGGTGCACTTGTATGCTACCCACAATCAAGACCTGATCATTAAGCGATAAGAATGCAAAGTACGTGCGCGCTTTATGCAATTACAACCCGTACTTCACCAGCACAGGCAACCCAACCAACACATTTCATGGATGTGTGGGCTTCACTGCCTATCCCAGCGCCACGACGAGCACGCTGCTGTGGAAATTGTGTGAGATTGCTGTGGCGCAAACAGCTGTTGCGCTGCATCTGGTCTTTTTTGACGTCAAGAAAATGCGCAAAGATGCCTTCGTACCGTTTAATAGCATCGCATCTAAAAAAGATCCTTTTGGACATTAAAATTGCTTAGATTGGTGCTTCCTCTGCACTCCACAGGGAATCTGAGACTGAGAAAGATATTGGAAACACGGATGTTTTTAGGACGCTTTGTTTGTGTGGCACGTTAACTGTAGACGAAATCCTGCGGTTCTGCAATATTTCTCATATACCTACGGCATAACTCATTATCATATCAAGGTAGGCCCTCTAAATACCGAGATATATAATTGCACGACGTGATTCTACTGACTTGCTAAACAGGCTAGCGCAGCTAGGGGCAATCAGCAGCAGGTGACTGTAACACAACCTCATACAGCAGCTGACCGCAGCGGTGCCGTGCGCGTACTTTGGCGATTGCGGTTGGCGATCTTCGCCCGCGCGAGTGCGTGAGAGGTAACGACTTTTGAACGTTTGTGGGGTATGTCCGTCTGCTGTTGGGTGATATGACTGGCATGATAAACGTTGTATTATATGGCTACTTATGGAGGTGTTGCAGGGCTCCTTTTGATATTACACTTGACTAAGGGGAGGGAAGAATGCTCGCGGATGCTACCGTTAGTCACCGTTTTGCATTGTGACTGCGTAGTGACACCAGTCACGAATATAGCCACTGGAAGGAGGGAACTGCGGGGAATATCCCCTTCTTTCAAAAAAGGAAATGTTTTCCCTGTCGGTTACTTCCCATAGTTTTTTGTCTCTGGCACATTTAGAATGCCATTTTGGGGTTGGTTGTTGGCTGTTTCCCAGATTCAAGTATGACCCTCCAGTCCTGATGTCTCCCCACCCACTTTCAGAGATATGGTTATACCCGTGGGTAGTGGAATGCTACTTTTGGACTTTGCTTGGTTAAACTAGAGGCAGGAATTTAAAGGTGGCAGGACTGGTCAAATTTAGTCAGCTGGATGTTCAATGAGAAGAGATAAGTGTGCTGTTGGATGTCGCAGGTTGTGACCGCTGTTTGCTGCGAATGGGTACTTGAAGAGTAAGCTTGGGCAATGTTTTTATAGGTTGGCATACACTTCCATGTTCAGGATCATTGCAATGGATTTGTTGTTAGCAGAGAGGCTGAGTTTAGGGATTAAGTTGTTTTCCTGATGTTTAAAGCCAGCTGTTCATTGGTGTCTTAAAGCAGAATGCCAAACCTGGCTCCAGGAGCCCTGCTGCAGATGAAAGGTTAGGTTGGATTCAAAAATATTGAAATGAAGTTCTTGCAGTGTTAGTCCCTATCATTTTAAATTTCATGATTCTGAAACCTTATCCAGTGCATCCCTCCATATGGCACAGCCTGGCTGAGAATTTGTGAGAGGAAAGGTGATATATTATATTTATAATGGGACTGATTTTAATGAGTGAGTTCCATCCTCATTCACAGTACCCACACACTGAAAGCAACATACCCCAAAACTGTGTACAGATACATTAGCTAGCAAATTGGCTATTGATGTTGGTTTGCCCTTTTGTTATAAGCAATGCTTTGAGCTACATACTGCGCACTTCACTCAGCCATCTTAAAGGCCTTGTTACTAAATTAGGGCCATTTGCCATGAGCAGCAACATGTGCCTAATACAGGTGTCTATAGGACTTAAACTAAAATAGTTGTCCTCTTATCACCAGATTCTGTACTTAAATTCAGTGGCATGGTGATGAAAAACTGAAATTAAACCTGACATGATAAGAGTCTAAAGCATACAAGCCATCTTCCAGCTCTTGGGTGTTCCACTGGGCACAGCCAATGTGGGCAAGTTATCAAGTAATCCTTTGTGTGCAACTGGTCCTGCCTCACAAGAGCTGTCAGAATACCAGTTTGGCAAACTATCATTTACTGTTGCATTTGTGAGATGTGGTAGTAGTGCACTATGTGCTGATATCAAAGCATTGCTGAGCATGCAGAAATGTTTCTTGGCTCTTCTTTAGTATAAGGCAGAGATAAAAGGCAGATAGTTTTGTTCTTAACTGGAGTGATGATGTTCAAGGCATTTACATTCTTACTGATTGAATAGTTGTTATATGATATGGAAACTTGCTTGTTATAGCAGGTATGTATGGGGATATGGTCAAAGAGCAGACTCTGAGTTCCACTGTGTGTGTTGGCAAACCTTAAAAGGATGGTGTCATCTCTTTTTGTTGCAGGTTAAGCTTGGCCACCTGCCACAGACATCATGTCACCAGGATTTTTTGGAAGCAGTACGCCAAGCACCCAGGCTGGAGCATTTTCATTTGGTGCCTCAGCTCCATCCACCACAGTCAGCTGTCAGCACTGGGTTCTCTTTTGGGGGATCAGCTGCCTAAGCCAGCAGGCACCAGTTTCACACTGAACCCAAACCCTGCGGCACCAACAGCAGCACCAACTGGCTTTGGGTTTGGTACCCCAGCAGCAACTCAGGCCACGACAGGCCTCACTTTTGGCACGCCTGCTGCTGCTACACAAGCATCGACTGGCTTCAGCTTTGGCGCGCCGTCAGCGACCCTTCAAGGCTCGACTGGGTTCGGTTTCGGTGCACCGACCGCCACCACACAGGCCCCTCAGGCAGGCTTCGGTTTTGGCTCGTCGGTCGCAGCCACACAGCCATCGACGGGGTTCAGTTTCGGCACTCCTGCTGCCTCTACACAGGCATCGACCGGGTTCAGCTTCACCACTCCCGCAGCCTCTACGCAGGCGCCGACCGGGTTCAGCCTGGGTGCCCCGCAGGCAACGTCGCAGGCCTCTACGGGGTTCAGCCTGGGCGCCCCGCAGGCAGCGGCGACGCCTTTCGTCGGCTTGGGCGGCAAGCAGCTGCAGCTGGGACCTGGCGGGACCGTTGTGTCGACAGGCGGCCTGTCGACCAATTTCGGCAAGGCGGACGGCAAATCGGCCAAGGAAACACCCGTGCCCGACGAGGTCGCCCAGACGGTGGCCGCCTTTCAGAAGCACGTACAGGAGCAGAAGTCCGAGTACGAGCAGATCTCTCGCCACTCGTGGGCTCCCGTGCAGCGCGTGCGCGAGGAGACGGGTGCGCTCCGCCAGCTGCTGGCCGCCGTCGAGGCGTCCGTGCAGCGGCACGCCACGGCCGTCTCCAAACACAAACACGACGTGGGCGAGGCGCTCAAGAGCGCCGAGGTGGCGCAGCGCACGTCCGAGATCTCGCCAGGCCTACAGTACGAGAACTTGGCGCCACAGGAGCTGTTCGAGCGGCTGGTGCAGCAGTACGAGGCGTCCATGGTTACCTACAAGCGCCAGATCGACCAGCTGGAGCGGTTGCTCGCGGCTTCGGACGGCGCCAGCTTCGTTTCGCCGGAGGAGCTGATGAGCGCCATACGACAGCTGCACGAGACGTTCGTGTGGCTGGCTGGACACCTACAGACGGTGCATGAGAAGGTGCAGGTGCTCAAGGACCACTACCTGGCCTACCGCCGCAGCATGGGCGGTGATATAGCGGACGTGTTTGGTGGTGACCGTGGGAAGGCGGCGCCACCGCCACCGCCACCACAGCCCCAGCCCGGACCGTCACCGTTCGCCGTGGATCGGAACGCGGCAGCGGCGGCCGTGGCGGCCGTGGCGCAGGCGCTGGGCGAGGCGCCGGCGGCGGCCGCGTCCGTGCACGCCACGCCTGCCGCCGGCACGTCCCTGCTGGGCGCCGCTGCCAGCCCGTTTGCGGCCGTCAGCTCTACTGGGTTCGGCGCCAGCGGCTCGCTCTTTGGCTCAACGCCGGCTTTCGGGCTCAAACTTGATCCGCCGCCCGGAAGCAAACGCGGCAAAGTGGACTGACGTGTATTGACGTGAGCAAAATTTACTGATATACTAATTTCTACCCTCTTCATAGCTGTACTCAGTGAGTTGAGCTGTTCGAAAGTGTTTGCAACGAGTAAATATTGTACCGACACAACTTTGGGTAATTTAGAATGCACTGCATAGGTCTACAGGTTCTTAGCGACTTACCCCCAACCAGCATTTCGTTCCGCGCCGCTTTGAGACTACGATGTTAATACACACGAACCATTGAAGGTCATTGTTTTATTTAATCCAAGCAGACATTTGCATGACATCAAGATGTATGTCGCTGATCAAAGGCGGGCCCTGATAAGAAAACAGAGTGCGGAGACGGTGGTTTATTTTATGATCAGCGTTTCGGTCACAGCGGGATGGACTGGGGTTCAAGCACCACGAGCGTGCGTGCCCACCAAGTGTCTTCGTCTTTGTGTAAAAGAGTAGGAAAAACATGGAAAGTGGCAGGGTGGCGAGCACGGTCATTGGACGTTACCTGGACTGGCAATTAATCCCATAGTCAGAGACCATGAGGCATCTTTTTACAAGAAGAATATTGTGTATACGAAGACAGCGCATGCCAGGCGTATGCGACGTAACAAAATAATCTCGGGCGAGGCTATTTTTGCCCGATTTTCCGTCGGTAAGTGGAGCTCGGAGGTGGGGGTGTGGGAGCGGCGTTGCGTTCGAGTTGCATAAGCCTGTTGTCCTGACTCAGTTCATGTCAAGGCCAACCCTCTGTCCCCAGCTTTGAAGGTTTCATTTCACCTTTGGTTTAGCGCGTATCGATTCAAACTCACCACACGCTGATGAAGCCTGGTAATGGGTGCGATGTTACTCTATATCCGGGCTTTTTCCAATCGTGTGAAGTATGCGCTTTGACGAAACTTACATAAGCTTGTTTGATTTAGCTTGTCCATGGGCAGTGACATACAGTTATTGTATGTCAAGCATGAGAGCATGCATTCAGCATGATGGCTTGTATTGAATTACACATCCAATATCGCATGCCGAGCCATAGCTTAAATCAGACTATTCTGCACAGATATCCTTCTCTGAACTAGAAAACTATTAGACCTGTTGTCAGTGGAAGTCTCAGGCTGCAAGAACTAAAGCCTGGAACATGGCATATTGTAACAGAATTAATGTTTTATAGCTCATCTTTGGGCAAAGTGTGCACTGATGACTAATGGAAATCCTATACTTACTTGGGTGTCCTTGTCTGAAATAAGTGTTCATGTTAGCTTGCATAGTTAGATTGGACTGATGCCTGATTATTTCAATTTAAGGATATTGGGACACTGAGAACAATGCTCTGCAATCCTGAGATGATGGGAGCAGCTCTGACTGTTTTATCTGCAATGTCCATGCCAAGACAAAAATAGATGTTATTTTTTAAAGCCAAAGCAAATTCATGGCAAAGAGATGGATATCAAACAAGCTAGAATTAGTGTAACTTGTTTCAGCTGTATGCTGGAAATTATATGTTTCAGGGCCCATTCTTTTAAAACTTTCCAAGTGTCTCATCGTTCTGTAACATCTAGCGTGTTTAAGGAGAGTCATGATTGATCCTTCAGCACTGGATGATCATGCACACATGCTTTACATTTTGGGTGGCTATATGACCTGCAGTTAAAGTGTCTTATAGCCCCAATTACTATTACTACAGGTATGCACACCAAAATAAAGTGTGCTGGGTGAGTTAGAGATATTATAATATTGTGCATTATTATACAAGAGGTCAAGTTTAGTACCAAAAGTTATTATTGGGATACATATGTCTTTTAGGATTGGTCTGTGCACTTATTCCTGTTCATTTTGTGTTTCTTTTCAGGCACCTGATTTGCTTTGGACTTGCTTTGCATTAGAGACAGTAATGGCAGCTGCTTCAGACTCACTATCATTGGAAGGAGGTATGAAAATGCAGCTTCTTTTCTTATCACTGTCAAATTGTAGTCCACCAGCTGATAAGTTTTAGCTAGCTAGTAAACTTCTAAGAAATACTTTTTGTATGGGATGCATATTTTTGACATGTATGTGTTTGTATGTATGTGTGTGTACATGAGCCTTGCTTATTTCTATGGAGAAACAATTAATAAACATGTTTTGATAATGCCTAGCTTGATTGGGTGCTTTGCCTTTGTGGCTGTATAGCACATTTAAGCACTTTAATTGTTTGGATGTTTCATTGATCACAGATGTTATGAGAGCTGTGGAGCTGCTGGAAAAGCTCCAGAAAGGTACAGTTCCTCTCCCTAAAGTTATATTACTTCATGTGCAGTTTTCACAGCTGAGTGGTATGACCAGTAAGATGTGTTATTTCTCAGCAATAAGAGCCAGGATTAAATGACCTTATCATAATATATATATATATAATAATATCATAAATTTCACTTAGAAATTCACTACATTCATGCTTTTTGCTTTGCTTATGCATGTTTTGACCTTTTCATATATGTAAACATGCTGACATCTACTTTGCTGTTTGGTTTCTCATCTGGCTTAACTCAGAGCTGTGGGGACCCTGCACTGCAGCTGGTGAGGTGCCGGCCTCGAAGCTGGCCACCCTGCAGCAGGTGCTACGCTCTGATTTTCTGGGTGCGGTGCGCGGTGTCTACGAGCACGTGTACGAGACCGTGGTGTTGCCCGGCACGGCTGAGACGCGAGCTTCTGCCACCGCCAAGGTGAGGAGGATTAACCCTCGCTGGAGGATATAGACAGATATTTGCATAATTGCCTCCCACTTCACTTGTCACGTTTGCACTCCTATACGAGCTTCTTGGTCTGTAGTCGGTTTTTAGTTTAAACCCCTAAAAGTATGAAGAATAGAGCCAAGCAGAGGTGATCGTCAAGTGGCCCTCTCAACACTGCAGCAGGACAACCCCACAGTTTCCGGGAGTGACCACAGTGTGTCCAACCTTAAGATGCTTTGTCATATCGAGATAAACAGGACTGTCTGCCGACCAATGTGTTGCCCACAGATTGTTTGTGGTCTGTGTCTTTTTCTTCTTTTTGTCGCCGCTCCGGCACACGTTTCGTTGCGCTCCGTGCCATGACCATCGGCTACCACCGGCGCTGGCCGACAGGCGACGGTGGCCGCGTTCGCCGCGTCCGAGGGCCACGCCCACCCGCGCCTTGTGCGGCTCGAGCGCGACGCCGACGGTCTCGGCTTCAACGTGACCGGCGGCCAGGAGCCGGGGGCACCGGTGCTGGTGAGCCGCGTGCTGGAGGGCGGCGCGGCGGCGCGCCGGGCCGGCCTACGTCGCGGCGACCAGCTGCTGGCCGTCGACGGCGCCTCGGTGGAGGGCGAGCCGCACGGCCGCGTGGTCGAGCTGCTGCGCGCCACCGGCGGCGCCGTCACGCTGCTCGTGCGCCACGCTCCGGACCAGCTGCACCTGCTGGAGCGGCGGCTGGAGGAGGCGCGCGGCTCGCACTAGTTGCGGCCGGACGCACACCGCGCCCTGCCGACCGGTCGGCCGACCCTCGCGCTGAAGGGGTCGCTGCCCTGCTCCCATGTGCATCCTGTAGTGCCTTCAAGCTGCCTTGCGTTTTTGTCCATGTATTGTAGGTCGCCGACTTTCGACACCTGTGATGTCCGCTGTGCTCAGGACTGTAATCTGACTATAGGCGTGCGCGACGCTCTTCAGGATGGTCTGTCGTTTTTTCGTGTTTTTTTTTTGTTTGTTCTCTGTTTTGTCCTGTTTTGCTTTGAGCCATCATGTGTTGTTGAAGTGGTTGGCGTTGATCCATCGAAAGTGATGAAGCAATGCGCCGGTGCTGGACGGCAGCCTGTCGTTGGGTAACAAACGCGCTGGAGCCGTTGTATGTTCGCCGCGCAATTCCGGCAGCTTTTCTGTGCGTCGTGCCTCTGGTGCTGGTTGTGATGGGAGCATCAGATTATCAGCTGTTCGTGGTCTCATTGCCTCGCTTTGCTTCGTCGTTTTAAACACTGTGTTGTCAAGGATCTGCGTCCGTTCCGGCGACCTTCGGTTGAAGCCCATCGTCGCATCTCGTTTGGCTGCTGCCGCTGCCGCCAGCGTGTTGTTGAGCTTTCCAGTTATCCTGGAGGTGCAGCCCCTACCAGATCAGTTCGTGTGCGCGTGCTAAAGCTCGTGCTAAAGCACGGGGTGCAGCGTGAGGCGCGCGTCTTTCAGTTGATCTCCGACTTTTTAAACCTCTACAGATGATGCGACAATGCGATGCGAAAGGTATCCGAGGATTTAAGTACTCAACATCAGGGAGAACTCGCGAGGACTCATGGTTACTTGTCTCTGGAGAGCATGTGTGTTCTGTACTGCGAAAGGCGCTGACGACCATCTGCTTACTGATGAATGAAGAAAGTTGGTATCGTTGAAAACGTGTGAGATTTACGCCGATGCTTTTTAGACCTGAATCTCACATGGTGGTTGAGGGCATGTTCAAACAGTACGCAAGAGACGTTTGTGACCGTCATGTCTCAGGTGTATCCGTTCCTTTCATCCGTGCCATGCGTTAGGAACCGCTGCATGCTAGGCCTCCGGTCGCCACCTGAGCTTGAATCTGACTCGTGTGCTAGACACGCGCGCGATGCCTCTCACACGCGAGTCGCGTGCCAGAGGGGGCGGATGGTCTGTCTTTGTTTGTGAAAATGATCCCGCCTGTGCCTAGCACGTCTACTCAGCATGAATGGCAGTGTTGTACAAAGCCGATGTCTTCCCGCTATGCTGTTTGGACGGCGCCGGCGGTGCCTTCTCTGTGCTGTGATTGCGATACGGCCCGTAGCGCACTCTTTCCAGCGCATAGCTTTGTTATTTGGGCGTGGGCGTCGTGGAACGCTGGCCGCTCGCGACCGTGGGCGTCGTCTGAATGCGCTAATTCGAAAACCTGCGCTTTGTGCGTGCTATACAGCAACTGTCGCGATTTGTGGTTTACTTACGTGATGAATCTGACCGATGTCTGGCAGATGTTGAGAAACGAGTTGATGCGCCGTCTTCCGACAGTTTTTCGCGGCCGGTCGGCAGATGCCCGCGGACACCGGAGCTGCTTCCGAGGACGATGTGTAATGACACGTCTCCCATGTTCGGCGTCGTTTGCGCAGAGGTCCACGAATGCGCGATTCTCGTCATTTGATTGGTTCTTGAGTTTCATTGACCCTCCAGCAAACGCAAGCAGGCACATATTCTGCTCTTACGTTTGCATGTGTTCGGTGTTTCTCTTAAATGCAAAGTTTCCGTGAACGCCCTCTGCAAATCGTTCAACTGGTTAACGTAATAATTACTTTTCTAGAAAGAAGAAATTTTAAATTTTGGAGAAAAATTAAGCATACGCAGAAAAATCAGACTGAACTGTTGGCTCATAAACGGCTGTATTTATAAAAGTATTTACGTTTTTATCTACCTTGTATTTACACATGTTTTCATATGGGCTAGATTATTCAAAACAAAACTATTGCCTGATCGAGGACACACACACCATCACACGTCGATGCGTTATGGTCAGAACGTAATGAAAACACAGTTCTAGCACATAATCATACACAGAGGATGCAGCATCCTCGTGCTCCACCCGCCCGTCATACTGACCCACACAGCATCACTGTCACCGTCCGCCACGTCTGGCGCGCGCGGGCGGCATGCACGCGTCCCCGCACCGGAGCGAGATCCCGGCGTGTCGAGCCGCATCACGAGCGACCGCGCCGCCGCCCCCACCGTCGTCGGCCGTCAGTTATCTTCGTCCGACTCGGATTCTGGTGGCGCGCGGTTCAGCTCCGGCGGGTCGCTGCTACCGTACTCGGAGCGCGGCGCGCACAGGCTCTCCGTCCGGCTGGCGTGGCGACTTCGGCTCTGGCGGCGAGGGCGCGGCTCAGTCACGGCACGGGTGTCGCTCGGTCAGACACTGACGCCGCTCAGTCAGGTATGGTCACCGCTCAGTCAGGCGTGGGCGTCGCTCAAACAGACGTGGGTGTCGCCCAGCCAGACGTGGGCACCCCTCAGTCAGACGTGGGCGTCGCTCGATCAGGCACGGGCGCCGCTCTCTCAGACACGGGCGCCGCTCGCTCAGACACGGACGCCACGCCGCTCTCTCAGACACGGACGCCACGCCGCTCTCTCAGACACGGACGCCACGCCGCTCTCTCAGACGCGGACGCCACGCCGCTCCCTCAGACACGGACGCCACGCCGCTCTCTCAGACACGGGCGCCACGCCGCTCTCTCAGACACGGGCGCCACGCCGCTCTCTCAGACACGGACGCCACGCCACTCTCTCAGACACGGACGCCACGCCGCTCTCTCAGACATGTACGCCACGCCGCTCTCTCAGACACGGACGCCACGCCGCTCTCTCAGACACGGACGCCGCTCTCAGACACGGACGCCGCTCTCAGACACGGACGCCGCTCGCTCAGACACGGATGCCGCTCAGTCAGACACGGACGCCACTCGCTCAGACAGACGCCGCTCGCTCAGACACGGATGCTGCTCTCAGACACGGACGCTGCCCTCAGACACGGACGCCGCTCGCCAGACACGGACGCCGCTCGCTCAGACACGGACGCCGCTCGCCAGACACGGACGCCGCTCGCTCAGACACGGACGCCGTCGATCGTACGCGGGGACGCCACACCTGGCGCCGTGGAGCGGCACCACGATGTGCTGATTGGTAAACAGGCAGACTGGCTTTAGGAGCCGGTGCATGTGATGTTCGAATGAGTTAAGAGTTTTATATAGGCAAAATAGTGAACACCGACACAGATACGCGTAAAAAAGCATTTCTACGACTGGCTGGGCGGCCGATACTCAACGAACTACCGCCCTAGTAGAACATGTAAAACGTCGGTCCCATCGCATGGACGTGGGTTACGTCAGGTGCACTCAGCAGACATGAGAACTGAGATAACTACGCGTTTGAATGCAATGCGGGTGGCTGCTCCCGCTTCGCGTCATTAGTGCTTAGGTCGGCCAAGGCGAGCAGGACACGGGCGCCGGCTCCCGTACGGGCCCTCGTCGCGGCGTCGCAGCGAGCGGCCGGCTTACCTCGGCCAGTAGAGGCGTCTCCTCGTCGCGGCGGCGGCTGGCGTCGGTCAGGCGTCGGAAACAGACCAGCGTGACGACCAGCACGCCGGCCAGCAGCGACGAGAGCGTGCCGTACATGGCCCGTGGGCCGGCGTACTGGTACAGGTAGGAGAACGCCACCGGCGTCACCAGCCGCGACACGTTGGCCATCGCCTTCATCAGGCCCCACCAGAAACCCTGCAGAGGGGGGCGGGGGGGGGGGGGGTCGCCACCGTCACAACCAGCCGTCATCAGCCGGCGGGTTTCGTCGCAGGGAACACGCTTAGTCCGCCCAGTTTATTTATGAGCATGCTTGTCGATGTACGCTTCAGTAACGGCTGGACGACGCGCACAAAACTTAATTCCCGCGGTAGGAAGTTTCGTGGATTTAAGGAAATCATGGAGAGCGATGCAATTTATCTGAAAGTATCTTCTTGCGGTTGCGTTGGTGACACATGGTTTTCAGCCAGACAGCAGTAATTATCGACGTGTTAAGCGATTGGTCATCCGGGACGGCAGACACACATGCTGGCCTCTAGCCGGGCGGCAGACACACATCCAGTCATCCAGGACGGCTGTCACTACCGCGCCCGTGCCAGGCGACCGACACATGCTCTCATCTCCGAGCCGGGCGACCGACACATGCTCTCATCTCCGAGCCGGGCGACCGACACATACTCTCATCTCCGAGCCGGGCGACCGACACATGCTTTCACCTCCGAGCCGGGCGACCGACACATGCTCTCACCTCCGAGCCGGGCGACCGACGCATGCTCTCACCTCCGGGCCGGGCGACCGACACATGCTCTCACCTCCGAGTCGGGCGGCCGACACATGTTCTCACCCTCGAGGCGGGCGACCGACACATACTCTCGCCTCCGAGCCAGGCGACCGACACATGCTCTCACCTCCGAGGCGAGCGACCGACACATGTTCTCACCTCCGAGCCGGGCGACCGACACATGCTCTCACCTCCGAGCCGGGCGACCGACACATGCTCTCACCTCCGAGCCGGGCGGCAGGCACTTGGAGAAGAGGGCGTTCGACATGGAGGCGAGAAGCGCCACGGCGATGCCGTGCAGCACCAGCTCCGTGATGTACTGGCCCAGGTAGATGCGCGGAACGCTGGAGCACCTGCGCCCCCCGCCGCAAGGACGGCGCGTCATGAACCGACGCGTGAACCGAGCACGGCGCGGCACGGTTGGACGTGCGCAGCCCACCGGCCAGATCAAGGGGTTTAAAAAACATTCCATTATGGAGTTGAATGAGAACGGAGGGTCTCTGTAGGTTAGGATGATGCTGGATTTCTTCCGAGCCATCAGTGAATGAGACAATGAAAATAAATAGGCCCCGTTCGTCTCAGCACCACAAAATCGCGTTCGCGAAGCGTGATATCGAACTGTACCGTTGATTTAGAGCCTCTGATATGACATGCCTATGCTCCATCCATGCTTCACGTGGCACCGACTTACCAGGTTTGCTCAGGGGGACAGCCCAGAGACGGTGGCGTCATGGTAGTGGTACCAACCGGCGTCAGCGTTGTGCCGCCAACCAGTGAAACGTCTGGTACGGCCCTGCCAAGCGTGCATGCACAATACCTGATATGGGTATCTGCGATCTGCCCCATTATTGGAGCGCGGAGTGCGACTCAATTACCAGGTACTGAAGCAGCGCTCCTTTCTTCATATAATTTGTTTCCACAGGCAAGCCTAGAACTAGTAACTTTACTTATAAAGAGCAATGTCAACATATTCCCACCCTAGCAATGGAGGATAAGTCACCACTCTCCAGCAATACAGTCAGTAAAAGCAGTGCACCATGACATCAGTAATCGACATCACAGAGTGAGATCGACGTCATTGGAGGTCTTACCCGTTAGCGGAGGCTGCGTCCGCGAGAGGCGCCACCGTCGGCGGCATCTCCGAGCCCCAGGGCAGCGACACGACGAAGCCGAGGAAGCCCACCATCGAGCCGGCCAGCAGCAGAGCGCGCTCACCGAACCTGCCGATGACACGGCGTTAGCCAGGCCGGCCGGAGGCAGTCATGTCATGCGATCACACCACGCCGGTGGGGCGCGGCAACAGACAAGGTTCGGGCTGCGCCAGGGTCACCGATCGGGTGGGATATCACGGCCCCGCTGGCGCTGATTACAGATAAACAAACCTCGGAGCACAGAGGCTGAGCAAAAATTTTCGCAGAAAATAGAATAGTTATGCTGCCAACTTTCTCAGAGTGATTTGACCACAGGTGATGTTTTCCGGAAAGCACACCTCCTGCGATAAAGTGTGCCAAGTTCACCTTGCCAGACCTTTATTTCCACAAAGTTTACAGGGCTTCTACTGAGGTAGATGTGGTTACTAGTCGTAGACATACATGTGAAGCCATCTAAATATATTGCACGCTCGTGGTCGGAGCTGGGCACCAGTCCTCTGACGCCTGCAGACGGGCGTCAGTTCTCTGACGCCTGCAGACGGGCGCCAGTTCTCTGACGCCTGCAGATGGACGACAGTTCTCTGACGTCAGCAGACGGGCGTCAGTTCTCTGACGCCTGCAGACGGGCGTCAGTTCTCTGACGCCTGCAGACGGGCGCCAGTTTTCTGACGCCTGCAGATGGACGACAGTTCTCTGACGTCAGCAGACGGGCGTCAGTTCTCTGGCGCCTGCAGACGAGCGCCAGTTCTCTGACGCCCGCAGATGGACGACAGTTCTCTGGCGCCTGCAAACGGGCGCCAGTTCTCTGGCGCCTGCAGGCGGGCGCCAGTCCTTCGACGCCAGCAGACCGAACCGCTGACCTGTTAGCTAGCCGAGCCGTCACCACGAACATGACGGTCGAGACCAGACTGAAGCCCATCATCAGGAAGCCGTACGTCCTGACTGCCCTCTCCTCCGGCCAGCCGTTCATATCCATGAACATGGGCACCAACAGTCTGTTGGCAACAGGAGCACAAGGGTCATAAGGGGCATAAGGGGCATAAGGGGCACTGCGGAGACGAGTCACTTAGGTCTCTAGGCGCACGATGGGACTCCTCTGAAGATTCCCCAGCAACTACAGACCTACTACCTAAACACGAGTGCCAAACCATGAAGTGGCGCTGACGAGATTGTCGACTTTCTTTACAGCCGTGCACCCGACGTCGCGATAGCCGCATACATATGGATGGTGCCGGTTCAGGGCAGAAAGCTTATGCAAGGAAAACACAGACAGGTATTCTGTCAGGCTCAACACATAAGCGTGTTTTGCATTTAAATGACATCACTGATCTCCTTCAAAAGACTGGTGGGGCCACTATTGATTTTTCCCACGTTGCCCTTCCACCGCGCGTGGATCAGTACTGACGAGTCGTTGAAGAGCAGGATGCAGCCAACGGCGCACATGACCAGGACACAGGTGGCAATGCCTGTGTAGTTGGCGGCCGTGGCGCTCCGGCGTTTCGTGCTCAGGCCACCGCTGTCGGCGCCGCCCAGACCGAGCTCCAGCTCCTGGTACGCGATCTCGTTGTCGAAGAAGAACAGGTAGAGCAGTACGGTGGTGACCAGGTAGACGGTGAAGGCCGTGATGCCAGCCAATGTGTACATGTTGAAGCGGAAGCCACCGAGCACGATGCCCTCGGAGCCGAGCAGGGATAGCAGCGTGGTGCAGCCTGACGATGGAGCAGTGCTTGTCGTTTGTGATTGGGCACGCGCAATCAATCCAAGTTGCCTTATTCAGTGAAGGGCCCGCCGCCGTAAGGTTCAGGCTTGATGATGAACTACGGAATTAGAGTAGGCGTTCCAAGCTTTATCACGATGTCGGTTTTCTAAGCCCCTTTCCGGAGCGATCAAATTCTCTCTTAAGTGTGCTACTGTTAGGGCTATAAGCCATATGGGTTATAGCTCCTAACAAGAACACTTTGATGGAAGTATATGTGAAAGCTGACCCTAAATATTTAAGATTTTCTGTGACAAATGCGAGCGAAGCACACTTCCTGTATGATAGCTCTGCCTGTGCCAAATCAGGGGTTTTCTTCAAAGACCGCTTTGACAACGTCAGTACTAACATGTTCCTGAAAGGAACCTTCAGTGGCACCTGCAGAACCAGACAGGGCATTTCGCCTGCGTCGGAGCGCCTTCACTGACCTGCACCGGGGATATAGGCGGCAGCGGCGGCTCCAGCGAGCAGGGCCATGGCCGGCCCCCGCTCGCGTGCCGTTGTGCCCCTGGTCACGAACACGGAGCCGATCACCGTGTCACCTAGCCGTCAAAAACGGCTGGTCACCGCGCAGCCCGGCCATTACACAGCTCATCAGTGCGTCACTAGGGAACCACACAGCCCCACCGCGCCACCTTGCGGTAGAAAACACAGTCCGTTTCAGCACCACCTGTCGGTCGAAAAAGCAACCGGTCATATCGCTACACGGTTATCAAAAATCTCCCACCGCGCCACCTTGCGGTAGAAAACACAGTCCGTTTCAGCACCACCTGTCGGTCGAAAAAGCAACCGGTCATATCGCTACACGGTTATCAAAAATCTCCCACCGCGCCACCTTGCGGTAGAAAACACAGTCCGTTTCAGCACCACCTGTCGGTCGAAAAAGCAACCGGTCATATCGCTACACGGTTATCAAAAATACAGCCAGCCACTGCGTCACCTGGTGACGAAAATCACAACCTGTCACAGCGCGCCTTGTGTTTAAAATATAGTCAATTGCCGCGTATGTTGCTGTAAAGGCGTAACTAGTCAATAACTGGTGTAATTAATAACATAACTAGTGCAGAAGCAGAAACATAACTGGTCACCGCGCTGAATGACAAGTAAAAACGCAACTGGTCATCGCACCAACTAGGGCCAGAACACGACCAGTGACCGCGCCACCTGGCTATAGAGAACAGAGTTCACCACCTTACCACCTGATGGTTACCACCTTGCCACCTTACCACCTGGAAGCCTTGCTCATTTCTCTGTCACCTGGCGATCACGGCGCACAACCGGACGCCATGTCACCTGGTCTATCGTCGTGTGACCAGACGACCAAGAGCGCAATTGATCAGTCCACCGCCTGACGTTCACAGACGATCAGCCCGTCACATGGAGTCGACGAACAAATCAGCCTGCTACCTGACGGACACCACGCTTTTGCCTTTGGGGGAAGTATCTCCCGGGGGGCTTCCTGCACAAAATGGGGCCTCCACGTCAGAGGGGTCTCCTGGGCAGTGTCGTTCTCAGGAGGAGGGCGCTTAGGCCGTGTGTCCCCTTATCGCGTTGTTACATGCATCATATTTGTGTAAATGAATGTCGACGGCCAAAAAAGTCCGTAATATGGGCCTTCTGATTAATATATGAGTTTTCTCAATCCATCAGTGGGTCTGCCCATCCTAAACCAGGGCCTCCCGTTCCTCAAAATGTGCTCCTGATGCATGAGCGGCCTACTAATCCAGAAAGGATTTTTCTGACCCACAAAGGGGCTTTCAACTTCAGCAAAGGGCCTCGTTATCCAGAAACAGGACATCCTAATCTGGAAATACGGCCATCCGGCAAATGAAAGGCGACCTCTGCTCAAGGAACGATGCTCCTGAATACCCAGGGTACCTCCTAAACGGGCTATTCTCATGATCCAGAGCATGCGTCTCTTGATGTAGAAAGGGGTCTTCTGAGGCCGATATAATGCTCCCTAACTCAGCCATGCCTGCCTCCTTGAGCTACAAAGTCTTCAGTATAGACAATAGACTTCCAAAAGCTTGAAGAGGCAAAAACAATATCCTTGCCCCCTCCCCACTCAGACACACATACATGCATACACTGTCTGTTGGCTGATGATGGACAGGGGGCAACTGCCCCTCTGCCCTACCTGTTTCGTCCCCCATGCTACCTGATGGTCCAAAACAAACAGCCGAGTAGCCTGACATCTGGCGATCATAGACCTGATAAGATCGCGCCTAACCACCGAAGGGACGATCGTCGCATCATCTGGTGGTCATAACCGCAAAACTGTTGAAGGCACCGAGCAAAACGAAGGCTGGTAACATGAGAAGGAAAGGATGCCAACCCAAAATAAAGCTTCCACAAATTAAACAGGCTGCAAAGGTAAACATCTTGAAGACAAGCCATACTACATGCCATAACAATGTTCTGCCGACCTTCCACCTGGCACGACTAACGGCACGGAGGTGAGGGGGGGGGGGGGGGGTAAACACTCACTGCCGAACAGACCGTCGATGGCGCGCGAGGCGGCCAGCAGGTAGAAGGGGTGCGACGGCATCAGGTAGGCCAGCGCCCACATGACGTAGCTGAGCATCACCATGACGGAGGTGAGCAGCGCCAGCGTGCGCAGCGAGACCAGGCGCAGCGCCGGCCCCAGCAGCGCGTTGTTGACGATCCGCGCGATGAACATGCCCGAGATGATCCAGGCGGCGTCTGTCTTCCGAGCGTCCGGGTCCAGCTGCGGATAGGTGGTCCAGCGGTCGTCGGATTTCATGCTTTCGCGACGGGTTCCCGAAGCCGGCACTCCGACCCGCTTTTCACAGGTCAAAAGGTGTTTCACAGGATGCAAGATTTACGTAAGGAAAATGAAGCTCACAGAACACAACAGATCTGTTATAGAGTCTCACACCCTTTTGAGCGAAGTGGCTTCACTCCGAAAAGGATAATAGCTGCCATCCAGACCAACAGCTATCTATCAGCCAATGTGGCCAAGCCAACTGACGAGGGGTTCAAACATGATCGCCAGCAGTTTAGCCGGAGCGATCCTCCGTCAGCAGTCGTGCTGGCGTAAGGCCTCCGTTTCGGTGCACCTGTTGGCTCCACGCGGACCTACGTTCTGCATGTAGGGCCAGGTGGTGGGAACGATCATCGAGAGGGCGATATAGGCGCACGACGTGCGCGTGCAGACCAGCCAGAAGGACACGTGCCGACTGCGCCGCTCCTCGGCCGTCTCCAGGTGCATGGTGTCGTAGACGGCCCCGGTGCCGTCCGGGTCCCGCCTGGAACTGAGCACCCGCTGAGCCTCACCCGGCCCCACATGCACCGTCTGCCGGCTCGGCAACCGACGGACGTCCAAGGTGGGCCGCCGCTGTCGTCAGATACACGTGCCAGCAGCCGGAAATGAGACGTGCTGGGCGCGACTCAACGGTGGCGATCCTTTCAACCAGCTCTACGACAATCAGACGGGACACGGGAAATATAAACGGATGTGCACTTCGCACGGGCCCACAATAATCTCGGAAGTCTGCCTTTCCGTGGCAATTTGCTGGTAGCGTCAGATACAGAATGGACCATCATCGTCGACTCCTCGCCTGCTGGCTCCACGCAGCATTGCAGGGGAGAGGAAAAACGGTGCCGACAAGGCCATAGGCATCCCAATGTTGGAATTTACACGATCTACTGACCCAAGGCAGCATAGTTGTCCACGCAGACGCGCAGATCGAATCCATCCGTTTCCCGATCACGCGCAAATCCACCGCGCCGCGCTCCCACAGCTCCCACACCGCGACGCCGCACCGCGCGAGCTCCACGCCGTGCAACGTACCTGCCTCCGAGCAGGTTCATGGTCGGTTCCGCCGTGTTTCGCCGCGTCAGCCGATGTCCGCCCGGCGCACCCGCGCCGCGGCGTCACCGCTCACCCCGGGCTGCACGCGGGGTGGCACAGCTGCCTTCTGGCCGTCAGAGCCCAGCCGACCGGCCTAATGGGACGCACACTGCTAATGGCCGCTGATGAGCCTCATTAGCCGGCGGCCGACGCCACCGTGCTAGGACCGAGGGGACGCGGCGTCTGACGCGCGATTGCCGCGCCTCGCTGGCGTGCGATCCGTGCAAAGGCACGGTCGGCGAACTCGGCACCCTCCGAGCTATGTGCCCACGCGGGGATCCGACCGAAATATGGGCTAGTCCCGCACCTTGACCAGGTGGCTATGATCACACATCGTGATCAGGCTTTCCTCAATCACAAAGAACAGATGGTCGTAAAAATAGATGAGTATATTCTACAGAAAATAGCTACAAAAACTGCTCGTAAAGAAGCGAAAACGTTTCCATTTGTACACGTCAGGAGGACGTAATATCATGTCACATAACGTGCGCGGCCGGCGCGCCACGCCACGGCCTGCCACGCCAAGGTCAAACCTGCTCAACAACACGCGCGGCGATGGAAGCACGTAACGTTCCCTGCGGTAGCTTATCACTACGACAATACTGACAGTTGCAAAAGTGAGTTAGTGGTCGGGCATCGCCTTGCCAGCTACATACTAAGCGGCAGCTGCTCTCCCCGCCTGGACCGCAGCAGCGCCTCGCTCCAGAACTGGCGCTGCTGCTCCAGCACCTGCATCTGGAGGGCGTGGTGCGCCTCCATGTAATCGGCCTCGCGGCGCAGCAGGCGCATTTTGTACTCGTGCTCGAGCCGGCGCAGCTCGAGCGCCTCGTCGGCCGCCTCGGCCGGCGGCCGCTTGGCGCCGCGCCGCTCGCCGGCGCCGGACGGCTCGAGCGGCGGCCCGGGCCGCGGCCGCGCCGCCGCCGCCGCCGCGTGCCCGTTGACCAGCCGGTGCAGGTCGGGCAGGCCGGGTGGCGTCCAGAGGCCGGCGGCGGCGCGCCACTGCTCGGCCAGGCTGGCCACCGAGCTCGGAGCGATAGCGGGCTGCCGCTGCGGCTGTGGCTGCGGTTGCGGCTGTGGCTGCTGTTGCGAGGGTGCCGGCGCCGGCGGAGCGCCCAACTCCACCGACAGGTAGTCACTGGGGATCGGGTACATGTCCAGCTCAGCCGGCGGCGACGGCGCGCTGGTTTGCGAGCGGCCGGGCGACTCGACGCGTGACGTGTTCGACGCCTCCCAGTCGGACATTTCAAACGCTTCCTGCTTCAGCGCTGGAAAACACCGGCCCTCCGGTCAGGCGACGGCGCACCATCGAACATGTCACCACCAGTGAAGGCGCAAGCAACGTGACAAAGAGAGCAAACAGAGCGGTCAGAATATGGCATCACCAGCTTACATCACAAACTAAATGTCGAAAGGAAAGCACACTACTTAAAATGACGCCTTACCAGATATATAGTGATAGTTTGCGCTTCCGGGCACACCTGGTTAAAAAATATGGATGCACAATTGTCAGCAACAGGCACTAAGTGGCGCAACTAGCTTCGATACTATGGGAGGTACTTGTAAGGTGTACAGACCGTAATCGCCGTTGTATTATGCTAACAATGGGCCAGATTGACAACCAAACAACAACTGACATGCGTAGCTGCAAGTCTAGGTGTAGTTAACCAGATCAGGTGGCTGGAGAAAGCATTTAACCTGTCTTATTGACGGGGGTGTCTGATACGTGAGTGTGTGTATGCCACCCCCCAGCAAACACACCGAGTCCCCCTGAGATGGGCCCCTGCATTCGCGGCCCGTTGCGAAGGCTGCGCAGCGGCCGCTCACCTCTGTATTCGTGCTCGGGCGGAGCATCCACCACCTCGCAGTGGCCGTCGAGCAGACCCTCGAACTGCTCGGGCGCCAGCTGCGCGATACGCCACAGCACGCGGTCTACGCGGGCCGTGGCGCCCGCCTCGCGGCCCGCGTCCAGCGCCTTCTTCGTCTTCTGCTTCAGGTTCCAGTAGCACTTCTTGAGCTCTGTGACGCTGCGCTCCAGCGCGGCGCCGTTCTGCTCGTTGAAGCGCGCCTGGATATCGGTCCAGGCGGCCACTTTCTGCTCAATGGTGACACCGTCGCCGGTGCGCGACTCGACCACGTCGCCGTGTCGCTCGATCAGCGTCACCAGCAGGTCCTTCTCCTTGAACGAGAAGTTGTACTTGCGCTGCCGAGCGGCGCCCTGCCGCAGGTCGGCGCTGCCCACTAGGCTCACGTCCAGGCCGGCCGGCAGGGTCACCCGCTGCGGCGTGCCCACGTTCATGGCGCCGACGCACGCGCTGCCGCCGCCGCCGGTCACCTGCGGCACACACCACAGACACACCACAGTCACGTGACCACACGGCTGCTCACCCACAGTTGTCAGTGCTGAAGGAGCACAGACCGATGTGTACCCAATGTGATTCATGGAAGGGATCCTCTTCCTGGTAGTTACAGACCCCAACACTTCCTTACAATGCATGAAGCACGTGCACAGGATACAACAAGACGATTCTGGCTGACAACACGACTACTCAAGCCTGCAGGAACCCTCCACATGTTCAAAAACTGGGCAGTGCTCTGCCCCAGGTCGGCGCCGCCCACTAGACTCACGTCCAGGCCGGCTGGAAGTGTCACCGTCGTCACTCGCTGCGGCGTGCCCACGTTCATGGCGCCGCCGCACGCCCTGCTGCCACTGCCGGTCCTCTGCGCCCAGATACACCACAGTCACGTGACCGCACGGCTGCCCACCCAAAATTGTCAGTGCTGAAGGAGCACAGACTGATGAGCACACAATATGATACAGGAAAGGGATCCTCTTCCTGGAAGTTACAGATCCCAATGTTTTCTTATGGTGTATGAAACAAATGCACAGGATACAACAGGACAATTCTACCTGAAAACACTGACCACTCCAGCCTGAATGAACTCTCCTCCTATTCAAAAAGGCTCTACAGGCTGTAAAACAGAGCTCTTGACTTACAAAGGTGCTCATGAATCACATTCTAAAAGCCTGGAGAAGCGTTTCAATTTTCTACCACTTGGGTGGTAGGGATGTTAATATTTTATGCTATTGTACACCCAGCTTTTGGTTCAATGCCTGTTGCACCTTCCCTTGCTCAAAATAGGAAAATCGGCATGAACCATGTGGCAGCCAAGTCAACATCTAAGTGTCCCAGGCTTGACAAACAGGTGACCAAATGTCCTGATTCATGGTTAAAGGGCAGTAAACTGGTGTCAACAAATTGTGTGCATAGGCTGCTGGAGGGTCAGGATCCTATTAGCATGAATCTATATCTAATTCTAGTTGTCAATTCCAACACAATGTGACTGCATTTTAAATTAAAGCTGATGTCATTTATTGTAAATGTAGGGTTTGTGAAGTTAACATGCGCCAGGGGGGGGGGGGAAGGCCGGCTAGATATGCTTTGCTCGGGTTGGGGTGGGGGGTAATTTGGCCCCCCTGAGATCTTGGGAACTAGATGTATGAATGGGAACTGAGAGGTATGGCTTCATCTAACACCCTGCTGTTGGATCAAATTGAAGAATTCCCTTGAAATTGCCTTCACTGAAACCATGACCTGACTTTGACCTGCCATAGATCAGCAACCTTACAAGGTAAATCTAAATTTTTGATGCCAAAGTATTTGTTATTAGATTCTCAACAGCTATGCAAAATTTGGTGCAGCATAGCCACACCATTCAGAAATTATTCTGGACAAACCTTCTGGGGGAAGGGGGGGGCAATTTGACCCCCCCCCCCACCCCACCTCACCCCAGCAGGTGTTAAAGACAAAGCCAGTGGCTTTAAATTTCTGAAACATGATGACATGTCTGAGGCCAGTGGTTTAAAATTTTGCACCCACAAAGCTCAAGCTCAAGTCAGTGGCTTCTAGCTTGGAAAATAATGAGGCAAAGCCAAACCCATCAGTCAGAAATTATGAGGTAAAATCAAAGATAAACATAGTGTGCCACATTGCTTTCAAAAACTCAAACCATTCAGTATCTGCTAGAACTGCACATGACGATAAAATAGCACCGTGCATTTGTGCAATTATTAAGATAAAGGGTTCACATTATGCAGAGAATTGTTCAGATTATCATCCTCATTCTGTTTGGTAGTGTTTATATAACTTTTCAGGCAGTTAGGTATGTAGCTGTCTCAAAAATTATGTAACTGATCAGAATGACAGGATGAGCAAGACTGCTTTATAGTCAAAACTGATGTGAAAAATTACAATTACCAAAAATGCTCATGCTCTTGCAATTACCATTACAGAGGATGATTAGGCCATTAAAATTTCCATGAGACCAAAGCCAAAGCCTGTTTGTGCAACAGTGCATTTATCAGAATATCTGGCATCTCTTCTCCTTTGAGTCAGTCTTTTGCAATCTCTGAGCACTAAGGACTTGTTCATGAATAACACAGCTATGGAGCAGGCAAACTTTAGAGTGGTATGAATACTTTACCATGCCTTGTATACAGCTTTTCCAGAATGCATTGCACATCTTCATTATCTTCATAAAAATAAACTTTCACATCACATGTTAAGCATTATCATCAATGGTGATCAAAACAAATCACTCCCATGTTATCATTCACAAAAAATATGAGAATATCAGCAACTGCTTGAATCCCCTGTCCATAATCACTAAGCTGATTCAAGCAAACTGTGCCCCTAACCCTGAATCTGAATTGCATCAGGCACAAGTCTATATACTGCCCAGGATGTGTATCACTCTGTCCTATGGTGCTTATTGCTATATCTTGCTTTAAATATCAGAACCAGTGCCTTAATCCTTTGAGTGGTAAAGTTGATGAGCCTCATCTATTGCCTAAAGGTCATAAAGTTTTATCTTCACAGACAAAACATGATAAGTCCATTACATTCTATCCTTACCAAGATCCAAAGCAGGATCACCCCACATGGTATTACATGTGTCTAACTACAGATAGTTGCACAACCTTAAAAGCTTTTTCACCCCTTTCATAGGCTTGAAGTATTTCAAGCACACTTGAACATATGAGGTAGATTCTCAAGTTCCATACATCAACCAACACATAGATGTGCATCAAATACTCACCTCAAATTTTTTGCAGCTCTTTATCAGTCTCCACAGGTCCAAATAGATTTTGCAGTGTTTAAAAGTATGATAGCTCCCAATTTACCAAAAAGGTTTTAACAAAGAAAAGTTAGCTTCACACTTTTGCTGCCACATTAAAGAGCTTCACATAAAATAAATGTCTACATCAATAATGCAGGTGGCAAACATGTTTTTCTTAATAGCGTGCGCAGGCACTTGCGCCCCATCTTTACACACAAACACCAATATCACAATATCTGTCACTGCATAGGCATTGGGTCGATTTGGAAAGCAGTCTTCTTCCGACCGGGAACGTCCCACCCTTGTTTCACGCAGCGCACATGGACCACGGCTGAAAACCAAACGCTGGGTATGGTTTATCGGCTTTGAGTTAGAAAATGCCTCATTACATTTCGGCTGCCACAGCCCAGGATCACCAACGTCGGAGCGCCGCCCAGACCTGAGAAAACCCGAAATATCGTGGTTACATTTCTTTTTCATTGGCTAATTAACAGATTCCCAGGCTGTAAAGTACTGCCTATCGTGGGCTGCTTTGCTGCTAAAAGGCAGCAATTATTGAGCCATGGAAATCAGGTAATGTTCTACATGACTTACAAGCCACTAATCCGCGTAATTTCAGTAAAGATTTCGGCAGTGCAGCTGATTTCGATATAAGAAAGGAACATGCACATCGCTCATGTATCGAAACACGCGCACTACGCTAAGAAGTTCATAAGCTGATTTATTGACCGGTGTCAGTATAGGTATTATTTTGTCTCGATGCTACTACATATATCGGCGATTTGACCGTATATCGAGTTCTCAGCTAGTAATGAATTGCAACGTTAAAGCAAATTTCACACTGATCCACTATCAGAAATGTCCTCATACATGTCCTTGATACCTGTGGGCACGATCCTGGGTGATGGAACTGATCCATGAACATTCTGCATCACTGTTTCACTCAGATCAGATTATTAAAGGTAATAAAGATAGCTTTCCGTGACCTGTGTCGCTGAAATTTTTGCATACACACGAAAGGATTTCAAATCAAGCAGCAATCGAAACTTCGTGCGACTGTATGGACCACCTCCATTCCTAAGTGCAGGAAGTCCTGAAATCTACGTGTCTGACATGTTCGTTATGGCGTGACCTTTGAGGCATGAACATAAACCATAGGGATAAGGTTAATGTTTATGCAAAAATGTGAATCTAAAGGAGGAGCGGTGGTTCTGTGACTATATAACTTTCAATCGTCTACATCGATGTCGTATTGGACAAACGGTTTTTACTACGATTGGGAGTGAGAAAAAAACGTCATTGTATGCATTCAAAAATGACAGTGTTATACAATCATGGCACTCCTCTTTGTTCTCATTCATTTATTGTCCCTAAATGTCACCACCCAGCATCCCAATCATTTGCAATGTAACCGATGTTTCTTACTCTGAAGGCCACCTAAGTATGATTTTTAGCAACGCTGAATCCATGTTTCAGCATGTCCGGCAGCCAACACGCTACCGGGTTGGTGAAGCTCCTAGTGTTCTGGACCTAATTTTCACAAATGAGGAGGGCATGGTGAGCCAAATCAAATACCTGCCAGGGCTAGGTAACGGTGACCATGTGGTTATCAGGTATACTTTGGTCTGCTACTCTGGGCTACAAACCCCTCGTCCGAGCCAGCTGACACACACAAATTACGAGCATCTGGCTGACACCCTCAGGTCAATGGACTGGTCCCTGATGGAGAGCCTCAGCCTCGAAGATGGTTACAAGTTCTTCAAGGAAAGAATCGCCAGGGCCACTGAGGTTTGCTCCGTCAGGAGAAAGGCCAAAGCTAAGAAGAATTTATACATGAACCCAAGGGCCATGCAACTAAAGAAGGCTAAGGAAAGACTATGGCGAACGTACACGCGGACTCAGGATGTTCTGGACCATGCCAGGTTTGTGCGTTGTCGCAATGACCTGCGGAAGTTGACCAGGTACCTTCGGAAAGAGTATGAGATTAAATTATTAGCAGACATCAAAAGAGACCCCAAGGCCTTTTGGAGGTACGCCAACTCTAGACTACGCACAAGATGCAGGGTAGAAGACCTTCTTGACGATGATGGAGTGCTGACCAGCAGTAGCGAAGGGAAGGCAAACGTCCTCTGTAAATTCTTCGCCAGCGTTTTCACGGACGAAGGGACTAGTGCCATGCCTGTGTTACCGTGTAACTTTACTGGACCGTTACTGGATGACGTGGCCATCTCTACCCAGGCAGTGGCAAGGAAACTGGCCGCTCTGAAGTCCTCGAGCGCCCCTGGGCCAGACGATCTCCATCCAAGGCTTCTTCGCGAGTCCGCAGATGCCCTGGCAGCACCCCTCAGCATGCTTTACCGAAAATCTTTGGCATCCGGAAGGCTCCCTCCGGAGTGGAAGCTTGGCGAGGTGGTCCCGATTTTCAAGAAGGGTAACCGACAATCTCCGGCGAGCTACCGCCCAGTGAGCCTTACTGCTATTCCCTCCAAGATACTCGAAACTTTCGTCCGTGATGCCCTACTTAATCACTTCTCAGAGTCTGGACTTCTTCATGCGGCCCAGCATGGGTTTCTCCCTAAGCGGTCCTGTACCACCCAGCTGTTAGAGGTTATGGAGGATTGGAGCGCCGCGGTAGAGGATGGAGAACCGGTGGACGTGGCGTATCTGGACTTCAGCAAAGCCTTTGATTCTGTTCCCCATAACCGTCTGCTCTCCAAGCTTCATGCTTACGGTGTGAGAGGTAATTTGCTACGCTGGATCAGGGCTTTTCTTACTCATCGGATGCAGAGAGTGCGGGTCCAGGGCTCGAAGTCGGACTGGACCGACGTCGTCAGCGGCATCCCGCAAGGGTCAGTACTTGGACCAACGCTGTTTATTATTTTCGTGAACGATCTACCAGAGCAAGTGCGAAGCGTGGTCAAGATGTTTGCGGATGACACCAAGGTCTACTGTCGTGTCCCGAGACCCCTGACTCACTCACCTCTGCAGGCTGACCTCGACGCCCTGGCCAAGTGGTCAAAGGAGTGGCTGCTCCCCTTTAGTGCAGCAAAGTGCAAAATAATGCACATCGGGAACTGCAACCCGAGGCTGACGTACTTCTTGGACGGTGCCGAAATCGCGGTCGAGTCCACCGAAAAGGACCTCGGGATCTTCGTGGATTACCGGCTCCAGTTCCACGTGCAGACCGCGGAAGCGATCTCCAAGGCCAACCAGATGCTGGCGGTCGTGAGGCGGTCTTTTGCCAATATCGATGCTCGCACCTTGCCATTGCTTTTTAAGATCTTAGTACGTCCGTACTTAGAGTATGGCAACGTTATCTGGGGCCCGTTCGGCAAACTGGACCAAAAACGGCTGGAACGAGTTCAGCGACGAGCTACCCGGCTTGTCTATGAAGTGAGGCGCCAGCCATACCCTGAGAGGCTCAGACTCCTTCAGCTGCCCTCACTGTACTATCGTCGTCGCAGGGGAGACATGGTAACAGTGTACCAGCTATTTCATGGAGGCATGTCGCTATCGGAAGAGGAGTTCCTGACAAGGCACAACTCGGAGGTGACGAGAGGACACCAATGGAAGCTCAGAAAACCTCGAGCTAGGACTCTCGTCCGTCGCAACTCGTTCAGCACGCGGGTTGTCAACGACTGGAACGCTCTTCCGCACCCGGTCGTGTCGTCGACCTCAGTTGAACAGTTCAAGGCTAGGCTTGATACGCACTGGGCTGACATCATGTACGACGTCCCACACTGAATATTCCCATAATTTGAGACTGTTTGGTTACCGGACCGGGAGCCTGACGAGACCGGGACCTACAGGCCTAGTGGCCTTTTACAATTCCCGATCACCATAAGGTAAGGTAAGGTAAGGTGAATCGACCGACCTTGCATCACGATACGCTAATGGCGCACGTTTGCCTAAGCGTTACACGTGAATCATGCCGCGGAGCGCAGCAGTGGGATGAGGAGTGCCACGTGCGGTGGTGGTCGCGTCGGGAGTTATGGTGTTCGCAGGTTGAGTGGCCGCGCGTGTGTCATTGGTTTTAACATTGGCGACTGCTTTTGGAAAGGGCGCCGGTTTTTGCGGTCAGGAGTTTCACTTTTCACGCTCGGTTGGATTGGTGGCGCGGAATGTCCGTGTTTCATGACGAGATAGAAATAGAAGACTTCGAGTATGACGAAGAAACGGAGTCCTTCAGTTATCCGTGTCCGTGTGGCGACAAGTTTATTATAACCAAGGTGACAATGACTTAAATTAATACGCGATTTGCATGCATTGTTTGTGCCTGGTGGTGTAAAAGAGGGACCTGAAAGGGAGTGTTCCGGTCAGGGTATACATTGCTACCTCATGTTAAGAAAGAGCATTGTACATCAATTGTCGTGTTTAAGGCAGAACTTATCATAATTATTCGTAGAACAGGTCATCTAAGCTCTTACCTTAGAACTTAGATAACTACGATGGCGAACATCCAAGCGCAAACACGCAGCAACCACGACCCCGGTGCCATTTCTACCCGTGATCGTCGCATCATTACTGCGTGATCACAACATTACTGCTTATCAAGAACCATAAAAGTGTACAAGGCCAAGGTGACAATAATTCAATAAAATGTGTTTCTTGCGTATCCAAGCAGTCTTCCATATTGTTTGTAGATTGGTCAACATGGTGGGGAAATATGACGTTTTTGCGTGGGAATGAAAAGCAAAATGGGAATATGATGGCTAAACAAGACTTCTTAGTATGGCACATATATATGGTGTGGAACGTGGATGCCAATGGGACAGTGGGTTGAAGGGGACAGGGTGGGGGTTAGGTTAGGTTAGGTTAGGTTGTTGCATCTGATGCATGTTTCAGTATCTTCAAATGAGAAACATTCCCTGTAATCTTGGAAATTTAGCACAGTTGGTGATGAACTGAGGTTGGAGCATACAGTTTTCAGGTTTGACACCTTAACACCACTTTGGTGTTTGCACTATATCATGTAGGTGTATGGTGTAGTGCTGCAGACACATTTACTGGAGAACTTCTGGGCTGGCTAAAATGGGAGCATATTTTGGGCATGGCAGAAAAAAATTATGTCGGGTACATCTGAAAATGATGAGAAGTTGTTATATTAAAAAGATGCTGTTGGGCAGCTCACCAAGTTTGTGCTTTATGTCTGACCTAAGAGTTAACTTTGGGAGTCAGATCTGTCTCATATTTTGAGATGCAAAAGCCAGGCCAGAGCAATTATCAAAGGTCTGAAATTGTATGCTCAGTTTTGTATGTGCTCTGGCCCTACATATTCAGCTAAAACCTAATATTTTAGATGGCCCAATCACAATGGTTTTAATAAAACATCAAATGTTTCTTTTGGTGGTACATATAAGCAAAGCATGGAGCTAAACTCAGTCCATTTGCTACAAATACCATCAGTTGAAAAGCATCTATTGTGCATTTGCTGTTGCTGTTGATGGGTATTTTAGGGCAACTACACTGGTCATTTTTTGCTCTAACTGGGCATTTGCATGTCATGGGAATGAACTGTTGGACCTGGAATATCCCCCCACAGTCAAGGTACTCTTTTACAAGTGGGGAGAGTGAAGACAAAGTTTGTGTTTACCATTGGCCAGCAGCTACAAAAAAACACTGGCATCAGGGGAGATGATTTAGATCTCAGAATTGTGTGTAGACAAATTGTGACCCAGAGGAAAATGAGCAGGAAATTATTTGTCATAAAACAGTTTTTTTAGCACCAACCAATCCTGATGACATCAAACGAAATATGGTTGCTACGATCAGGCTGTAACCAAAACATCATTGATCGAAATGCTGCTGCAGTGAGAATGCTACTAGGTGGTCCTTGCATCTCATTTGGTCCATGCGAAGATCAAAACTTTTGTGGATTGTTGCAGTGTCAAGGGAAGACAGAGCAAAATGGAAAATGCCTTGTCATTCAGGACTGGTTGGCAACATTGTGCCTATCTTCCTCAAAAGAGATTGGTAAATTTGTTCTCTTAAATGCCATTTCAGCCAGATGCATGCTTTGAAAGACTGGCATTGCTATGCCACACATGATGCACTGGGTAATTTATGGTTCGATTATAAAATATGAAGCATAATTAATGGTGCCAACCAAGTGATATATGTGGGAATTGGTGATGCCTACTGGGGCTCAAGAGGACATTTGTGTATTTGCTGAACTTGTGAAAAGTAAACATTCTGGGTGAAACTGCCATATGCAAATGTGCTTTCACATATGTGTACTCACACATGCAGATTATCATTTATTGTATAATCTTTATGTTGCTTCTGAGCATAGCGAGAACCTTTTGCTATTCTAAGGGAGGTTTCACATTTGTATGGGGTTTTAAACTGAAATAGGCATCTTGAAGATCATTTGGTGCAGTTCACAGCCCTGCCCTTCTTAAGACCCATGCTGCCCCCCCCCCCCCCCAGTTTTTGACCCATAGACCCCTAGCTAGGAGCTAAGACCCATACCCCATGAAGCGTCCACGAAGATGTGCGGACTACTTCGGGAAGACTTTTTCCAAGGCCATCCAGGCGTCCATAAAGTCATGATAATGTTATTGAAATTCTGCCATTCCAATGACCAAGTGGAAGCCAAGGCAAGAAAATACATTTGCTGATTCATTGATATCTGGCGTTTGTGAGTACGATGTCCAGATAAAACGGCCGTCAATAAGCTCGCAATTGGTGTTGTGCAATGTGTGATGACGTTATCAATCAGTGACGTATCGACGAGCATATTTGCTGAACAGAGAAATTATGCTGTCTAGAGAAGTCTTTTCCACTAAAAAGTACATCAACAATTATAAGTGAACCTGTTTTATTACATCTGGTGCTTGCCTGATCATGTTTAAATGTGGGACATTCCCTTTAATCAATGTCTATCCATGTATGCCCTTTTTGGATACTGGAGTGCTTAGGTCTCTTCGAGCCCTGCATCATTTCTGCAACCTTAATTTTAAAGCGTGTTATGTATCGCCACTAGTTTATAATGCGTCAGCAGGCAGCAGAGCAGAGGTGCTAATTACTGATGCTAGGAACGTTGATTCCACGAGCTGGAGGTGTAGTGGACTTGCCTGTTTTGTCCGTCCTATGTGGTTGTGTTTTAATGCATGATATTGCATTGCTTGATGTCCACTTGCAAAGCTGCGCTTGCTGTTTCATTCCACGTATTGCTATGTTTGCAGGAGGAGCTGATTGCTGGTGAAGACGTCGCTACTTGCCCGTCGTGTTCGCTCATCATTCGGGTCATTTACGATCAGGTGATGAAAGAGTGCTACTTCAATGCTTGCATCACATTTACCTGTTTTTGTGTGTGTGGGGGGGGGGGGGGGAGAATCCTGGCCGGTTATCTCTGTCCTCCTGTTGTGAACATTCAGAGTTACTCGACTGTTGTTTTTTTTGCGATTTTGGTTTGTTCAAATTTGCTTTCGTTGTTTACTTAGCAACGTTTGTTCTAATCGACATACACTTGTGTTAATGGAAGGGTGATGTGACAGTAGTAGTACCCTTATTGGAGAAAAAACTGGGAGAATGGAGATAAGTGCTGATATGTATATTATACATACATACATACATACATATATATATATATATATATATATATATATATATATATATATATATATCCTGTTTCACGTCAGGAATAAGGCTTTTACTACAGTCTGATCGATGTGAATGATTTTCCTTGGAATTGCACTCAACAGCTTATGTAATTTTGAAGGATGTGATAAATAAAAAGGCCTGAACTATAATCTTGGTTCTTCTGTCCCTGCAAGAGCAGCGGCAATGTCCTGGATGACCGCGAATTGTCCGTGTGTCCCTTGGTCGATGCAGGAAACGTTTTGCAGGACAGCACTTGGGCGAACTGAATACGTGTTGTGTGATCTCAGGACGACTACCTGGAGGAGGAGCTGCCGACGCCAGCGGCCGTGCCAACGACTGAGCCGCTGCAGACCGTGTGATCGGCGCGCCGAGCGCGACGCTTGCCCAGCCTGGTCCGCTACCCCGGGACGCCACTCCCGCCGCAGCGATGGGTGGACGCGGTCGAGGCCGAGGTCGCGGGGCCTCCATGTCGTTCAACGTCGAGCAGCTGGGTTTCGGACGCGGCGAGGCCCTGCCGCAGGCCGCTCTCGCTCCGCCTCCCATTTTCCCGCCGCTGAACACTAAGCCGCTGCCGCTGGTGGCTGACGTCCAGCACGACTACATGCTCGTCATCAAGAAGGAGCTCTCCATGTTCTGGCGCGACTCGCCGTTCTACATCACGCCCCCGGCGGTGCGCGGCTGCATAGAGCGCTACTCGGACCGTTATCAGGAACAGGCCGCCGGTGGTCCCCAGACGGACCGACACACCGACATCTCGCGGATACCAGGTGAACTTAAACTGTCCGCTACGACCGTTCGCAAACGCAGACGTGACAAGCCGGGCGTAGCGCCGACCGCGGCCAAGACGGCTCGCGGCGGTAAGGATGTGACTGAGAAGTTGGACCAGCTGGAGAAGCGAGAGAAGCTGGGGGACCCTGAGGAGCAGAAGGAGGACAAGGAGGGCGCCGTGGACTCGGGTGAGGAGGAAGTGGGCGAGACGGAGGATGTGGAACTGGACGAGGGTACCGACTATATCAATGACTATTTTGATAATGGCGAGGATTACCTGGAAGCGGAGGACGATGCGTTGGAGGAGGGGCCGATCTTTTGATGCACTGCTGTGATATGTCCAGGATTTTTTAGGGTCGGCCCCCTTTCTGGATACCAGTCTCAACTATGCGGCCACGTTGCGATGTTCCAGTTATCGGCGAAGATGACATAAAAAGGTTTGAATTCGTGTTGAGAATGTTACAACGTCTTTGTAACCAGCATGTGAGCCTAACTGGTTTACCCCCTAAGTCAACGTGCTGCAGTACGGCGTTTATTGCTCTTCGGGGCGCAGCAGTGTGGTGCGTATGTGTTGCTGGAAAACATGACTGGCGCAGTGTACTGGTGAGAGCTGTAAGGAACGATGTGACTGATATCAGCTGCTTTGTTTATTTATTTTGAATGGTGCGGAGGATGCGGTTTCTGTGCGCGATACGCACAGGGGCTTGCGGATGTGTGCACAAAATTGAGAAAATTACGTCAGCGGTGACCGTTGAAGAATAATTGTTATGCAATTATTCTGTTGAGCTTTCGATGTGAGTAATTTGCTTTGTATTTACCCACAACTGAATTGTTGCGTCCTTCTCTACTCACTCTTTTGATTATGACTGTGGTTACCGTCGTCTTCTGGATGCCTGCGTAGGCGGACGATGAAGGGCTCGGCGAAAAATGCCCGGATAACAATATACCTGGCACTTGTTGTTACGTGCTGCCGTACCAGCCGGATTTCGAAATTCCCAGGCCTCAAGGAATTGAAAAAGCCTAACCTCAAAAAGTAACAAACTGCGTACCATTAGGGTGGTTGTTGTCCATTCCAGCCTTGAAACGAATAGGACCATCCAAAAATGACGATGCAATGCGTGGGAAGCAACGGCATTATTCCCACGTAATGCTTCTATTTGCCAGTCGCTGGCCTTTCGCCACGGAGTTCATGCAGTTTTGAACTTGGAGCCTTGTGGATCTCACGGAAGTCTGGTGCCGCATTGGTGCGCTGGCGCCGTGAGGGACGTGTGCGTGCTGTGGCGCCACCGTCTGAACAAAGCACTTCTGCGCGGTTGGCCGGTGCTTTAATACTGACGCAGTGCTTTACGACACCAAGGATCATTGGTTCGCCATGGGTTGTTAGATTTGATGTATTCACCTTTTTACCTTTAAGCTATTTGCATTTAATGTTATACACGATCGGAAAATTGTTGACGCTTATGTCCACACAGGGACTTTCCATAAAGTGGGTGAGTCTCACATCACCACATCACCCTATCAGGTTTCCACCGATTCCTGCCGACCAGCCACTTCCAGTCCCATGCAAAAATTATGATGCTATAGTTACAGCTTCCGGTGATTGCAGACCAAACATGGACTTGTGTGAAGTCTGCGGCATCAGTAGTTATCGTCCTAAAAGGAGTATTCCACCTTTTTGTACCTCACTTATTCTTACGTCGGACGCGTACAATTTGATCAGTAATACCAGTATTCTCGAAATCTTTCTGAAAAGCTCAGAATTTCTATTTGAAGTAGTCGACCCTGCGGAGAAATCTTGTTTGACGACCTGCTCACCACTATGAAAGCAGTACCTTTAATTTGATTTGTTTTTTTTTCCAGAGTGCGTATTCTGTAATGTTTGCAACGCACTAATGGGTCAGTATGTTAGTGTAACAAATGCCACGGGAGCTCAAAGCACTGTTTAGACAGAAAATATTTGGGAATATGAAGCAATCATTTTACGAATTAAACGGAATACTATTGTGTTTGAATTTTTTCCCTAACGTTTACAAGGCGGCGCTTTTGACGCACACTGGCAGTGGGAATGGAAGCATCACGTGGTTCATGTGACGCACTGGTTCAAACTTCAACCAATGCGCCTCTCGGTGGCAGGCCCTTGGCTGGGCCAACAACAAACGTTCTTTTATTCGCACCAGTGGAGGTGTGCATGGCGTGCATAATGACGGCGGTCGCGACTGAGGGAAAGGTGTGCTGTAATAAAGCGTTGACAGCGTACTTTGGACTCGAAAATAATTTTGATGTTGTTATGATGTCTGCAGTGCTGCAGTGACACCACCCAGTGCTATGTTTAGATGTAACTAGTCCTGAGGTTTCACTTGGGTATGTGTTTGAAACATTTCCCCTAAAGGCGGGACACGTCCTTTAAACAAATTAATCACTCTTGAGTCGCCGTCAGGGAGCCTGACTGTAATTCATTGCTGTCTCCGCGCGTTACACCGGTAAAATATGATGATAAAATGCAGAGCCGGTTGGGTTTCACCTGTTAAGTAGGCACTGGAACTCCTTTTTCTGCCATAAATAACAGAAGTTCTCGTATGACGGAAAAGCTTCTTGCTTTTCTTCGCCCTAAAATGGTTATCAAAGCGTCCGTATCTTGAAAGTCATCAGGTACCCTAACTTCAGACTAGGAAGTCTTAGCTGTCTAAATAATTCAAACCTGGATCAAAAAAGGATTTACATGTTATTAGAACAACACGCACCCCTCCAACATGGCTCTTTACTTTATTGGCTGATAGTACGTTTGGTCGTGGAAAATAATCACCAAAAATATATACAGTCCCTTAGTAGAAAACATCTTGAATCCCTACCCATGTAACTAGAATGGCATGCAACAACTCAGCAAGATATCTTCACTTTACTTGGTAAAGAACGGCGCGGTCATGGAAAGGACAAAACTAATTAAGCTGTTCAGTTGCATGATCAACTCATTGACAGCCTGTCCACCTAATGAAAATTCGCCATATAGTCGACGCTTTCCGTCTTGCCCACGACGGGCCGTTCCATCAAGGGACCGTGAACCGTGAACCATGAATGTGTGGCTGCACGATCATACGGTCAAGAATACCCAAGCCGACAAGGGAGGCAGAAGCCCCAATATGGCCACACAGCCCATACACGGTGGAAGACCCGAGATGAGCGAGGTCTGAACATGTCGAGACACCGAAAAAGTGAATGTCCAAAGAAGGAGATTGCGCCCAAAGACGGTCAAATGGCCGGCCTGCACTTAAAAACTCGAAGCAGCCGAGGGATCTGAAACAGTCAGAGTTGCCGTGGGGTGTCATGGCCCCAAGACGCCTCGTAGGCTTCTGGTCTAACAAGGTGCTTCACCAGTCAAGTGAACTTTAAATGGTCAAGGGCCAAAACGATCAAGAGGCGTGCAGTCGACCGAAGCGTCCCAGAGCACCAGAATGGTCGGCTGACTCCGAGGCTGTGAAGGATATTTGCCACGGCGAATGCACCACAAGGTAGGCAAGGGACAACATCAGGGCCTCGTGATGTTCGAGTGATCCCGACTGGTCTAGTGAGTCGCGAACGATCAGGAACCCCCAAAAGGTCACGGCTCACAGAGGCGAACTGAAGCGGCCGTAAGGCGCGAGCCGTTTGCGGGTCGAGACGCCAGGAAGCGAAATATCTTAGGTCGCGCGTGTTCCTATGTCCCGACTGCTTTCGCACATGGGGGTGCTTGCCTGCGTGCGTTTGTGTACACTCGCATCGGCGGCATGAAGCACACAAGGGTTATTACGCAAGGTACGCATGCTTTTGGGTGCGTATGCCAGCCAAACTATTTGAAAATTGTGCTCATGTCTACAAATGAACGCATGTGTTTTCAAAATTGAACATTGCCCATTGTCGTCAGAGGCGTAGTTTCGCCAAGTAATTTGAGGGGGCATTGAAAGAACTCAGCATACTCCCAACAAAAGGGCCACCAGCGTGGTCCTCCCTCCCCGCTCCCCCCGGATTTGGCCCAGTTTGTTCTCGAAGTTGAGACTGGAGCACAAGTTAAAGGGAGCTTCACCGTGCCCTTCCCCCCTCCCCCCCCGAACTGAAAAGAAACCATGCGCCGCAACGACATCGTTAGTAAATTCGTTTGCATATCTTTCCTTATAATGACAGCCGTAACTAATACGCTAAGGACGTCCACAAAGACATATATGTCAGACAAAATAATTACATCGAAATCGTCTCAGTGCGAGCCTATCCGGCGTTCGTCAATGAAGTGCTCAACAATATTTTTCGTCATCTACGCTGGTGGAGTACAACATGCATGTATGGGGCCTCCCCTGTGCAAGGATGTATGGGGTCTTCCCCGCGCACCATGGATGGCGCACGCCTCATGGGACCAGTCAAGAACACAATGCGTCACCTTCTCCACTGCCGGCTGGCGCTGCAGGGCTTCAGGCCCGGCTCTTCCCTCGCTCCCCCACGGAGTGTTTACAGCGTCCGGCGGGCGTGACCTCACCAGATCCGACAGGGCACTTCTTCTGGGCAGCGTCCGTCGCCAGTGCCTAATTTCCAGCCTTCCAGTCGGGCCAGTCAGATTGCTCAACAGGCCGGAACGGGGGAGCGGCCGGTACGGCGGCGGCCCGCGGGCGCCCCCCGACTCCGGTTACGGGACGGGGACGGCGCCGGCCGGCCCGGCGGCCCGCCAGCCACCTGGCCGCCGCAGCCGGGCGGTCAGCAGCGGCATGCACCGGCCCGGCGCCACCAGCCGGCGCCTCCGAGGCCACTGGTCTACACATGCTTCAGTCCCTTAGGGTCGGTGATAGCGAAGAGCATACAATAAGGTGTGCCGGAAAGGAGGAGAGCGTGGTTACATCCAGCTTCTCAACCTTCTCACTGCTCAACGCCATCGATTAATTCAGTGAAAGCACACCTTGGGTGCACATCCTCCCCTTTATCATCTTTTCATCGTTGTTAAAAAAGCAGGTTATTTGGATTATTGTTTCCTCAATCGCTGACCTTAATGTTGATTTCGGTGGTGAGTGACAGCAGGACGGGTTACAAACATTTACTGAAGGTCCTAAGGTCCTAAGGTCCTAAGGTCCTAGCCGTCTTTCGCCAGCCCCTTTGCCTACCAGTTACTTGTAATAAAATTCTCGATCGAACGAAAGTGGAAGGTGTTCCGATGACCTAAACGTAAAGTGGTTTTTAACACCGCAATATATATGCATGATACCGCTAGACATTTCAGTGATATGTGAAGTTGGTTATTAGGGCTGGCCGCATTTTATTTCAAAGACAGATGCTCGTTTGCCATCGTTGGCGGACCTTTCTCTCGGTCCTTAAATAAAGTCAAACATATCAAGTCCCGCACGGGAACGACACATCAAATGTACAATGATTATATATACCATGAAACACTAACTCACCGTTGCCTGTACGGAGTTTTAGGAGTTCAAATTGAATTGTAACGCTGAAAATGAGAAACGCCGTACAAGACCTTCCACCCACGCATGCCAATGCGAGGGATAGTAAAACTTTGTTGAAACACTTTGTTGGACAGAAATGAAGCAGAATGAAAGGTAGCATGCCAGCTTTTCGTACATATTACCTATTGTTAAATCAGTTAGATATTGGCGATTCGACCAGTAGCCCAAGTCTTCTCAAAATCCTTGTGAATAGCTAAAAATGTCGTTCTGAAGCAGCTGCTCCTGCGGGAAAAATCTCATTGAATCCCAGCTCACCACTAGGAAAGTAGCACATTTCATTTGCTTTGCTTTTTCCAACATGTGTGCTCTGTTATCTTTGCAACACACTGATTTGTCGACATTTGCGTGTAACAGGTGCCACGAAAGCTTGAAGCACTTTGTTTAGACAAGATATATGCGAACATGAAGCCCTTATCCCACGAATGGAAAGGGTAGTTATAATACCATGACTTTGATTTCTTCTCCATGGCGTTCCTATAGTGTGTTTT